ACAGTAGCACTCATTGGCTGCCGGGTCATAGGCCACGGCGCCCTCCTCACTGATCATGAAGATGAGGTCCTGCAGGAACATGCCAAAGCGCAGGGTATCATTGAGGATCCCGGGTAGGATGCGCTCTGCCTCCTCTTCCTCCTCCTCCGCCTTGGCTTCAGTTGTGCCCTTGTCAGTGGCCTTGGCCCCAGCCGACTCCTTCCCCTTCTCCTTCTTCTTCTTGCGCAGCACGGTGATGCGGCCCTCGTGGGCATCCTTCACCATCTGCACCTTGCGCAGCAGCTCTGGCTGGGAACGCACGAGAGGGTGGCGCTCCACGCGGCTCTCCAGGAAGGCGCGTGGCAGCAAGCGGAAGCGCACACTCTCGAAGACCGTGGGCAGTGCGCGCTGGCGCTCGGCTTGCGCCTCGGCGTCACCGCTGCTTGCCCATCGCATCACCGCTTCGAACACGGCTTCCTCCTTCTCCACGTTGAGGCCATCGCTGGAGATGATGGCGATGAGCTCGTCGGCCGAGAGCCCTAGGAAGTCAGCGTCGCGGGCCACCAGCGAGAAGCGCGCGCAGATGAAGTCGCGCGCGGACACGGCGAGGCGCGCGCAGTCAAGCAGGAGGCCGAGGCGGAAGACGGCCAGGCAGTTGGCCAGGCACAGGCGCTTCTGCAGGAAGGACACGCAGATGGTGAAGATGGAAGGGATCTGGAAGCGGTGCGCGGCGGCGAACAGGTCTTGAACGCTCGCCTCGTCCAGCGCGATCTCTGACGTGTACAGATAGTGGAGCACCTGGGCCACCACGTCAGGGGACACCTCCTCCAGGCGCAGCTCGCCTGCGCTCTCAGGCTCGGCCAGGAAGCGCGCCCGGAAGTAGGGGCTGCAGGCGGCCAATACCAGGCGGTGGCACGGGAACTCGCGCTCACCCACCCGCACCACACAGTCGAGGAACTTGCCGTGGTCCAGCATGTCCTTGAGCCCGTCCTGCAGGAGCGTCTGCTGGTACAGCCGCTGCTCCTCGGCCTGCTCCAAGCCCAGCGCCATGGTGGGTGGCCTCCTCTCCGCCCTCCCTGCCTTCCTGCAGGGTCGCACTCAGTCTACGCAGCTGTCCAAGCCGGGCTATATATAGAGCTGGACCGGGCCCTGTAAGACGAGCTGCCTGGCCTCCTGCACATGACGCAGAGGGGACAGCTGGGCTGACCCCCCCGCCCCAGAGCAACCTTGACTCAGCCCCCCGGGGGTTCATGGGACTGGGGTGGGGTGTCTCGGTCCTCCCTGAAAGATGAGGGCCTCCCTGCCTCCTCTCTAAACGGAGCGCAGTGAGGCCTTGACTGCTTTCCTTGGTCTAGGTGATGCCCCTCAGGGAAGGGGATTACCCAAGCTCTGTCTCTCAGTCCAAGGAGGGATAAGCCTTCCAATCCCTCAAGGGTCTCCCTTCCTCCAGGCCTTCTGGGCCTTTCTGCCCAGCTGCCCCTATCCTCCTTGGAGTGTATCTGCCTCCACCCAGTCCTGGACACCGTGTGCTCAGGTTTCCCACTCAATGAATTTGGGCCTGGGGAACCTGTTGCCTCAGCTTTAAAATGGGAAGACTTTTCTCCCGCAGCTCGGAGATCTTCCTTGGACTGTGCAAGAAAGCAAGAAGACGCTCGAATAAACAATGTCGCCACTTTCCTGTGGGGCCTGAGAAGGCCAGATCACTCTGTTGCACCTCAGTTTCCCTTCCTGCACAGTGAAGAGATGGGTGAGTTCGATTTTTAAGGGCTTCAGTTCAGTTCTGCTGTGATTCGAACTGCTGTGTGTCTGTGGTTCTGTGTAGGGGCAGAATCACACAGTACCACTCACTGTGGTTCTGTGTCCCTGTCAATACACAGGCACAGGGTTTCACACTATAAGCTGTCAGATGTGCTAGATTCAGTTTTGTAGGCTCAACTATTTTAGCTGTTAAAACACCCAGGGATAAAAAAACTAACAAACAAAGAGTTACACTCAGAGTTGAATATTCCAGGAAAGCTGTCTATGCTCAGTTCTTTGTCCATCCTAAGCTTGACCTGAGCCTGCCCAGCCTTGGGGCCCCTACACCTGTCTAGTATCTAAGGGATCCAGGTAGAGGTCTGGGGCAGCCAGGCCCAATGCCACCCTGCTCTGGACCGCTGACCACCTCCCCCCACTCCACAACATGCACACACACATCAGCCTCAGCCACCAAGATTAACTTGTTCCCCAAGTGCCAGAGGCTGCAGCTGTGGGTTAAATTTAGCCCCCAAGACACTGGTGTGAACTGTTATGGGGCATTCTCCCATCATTCCTGAGTCATTTGTTTATAACTCAGGCTTGAGGGGCAGGGGATTAGCGAGGGGGGCTTAGCCTGGGCCAGGACTGAGTCACCACCCAGTTTTGTGATCCCAGTGATGTCAATGGCTGTCCCTCCTGAGCAGTGCTTTCAACCGTTGCTTGCTGACCCCTCTAGCAGTTCTCACAGGGACATAGCACCTAGGTAGAATCACCTAGAAATAGTCCTATCTTCTGGGAAGGGCAGAGGCTCACCCAGGGGCCTCCAGCCCAGCCCTAGACTGCAGAACATTTCCATTCAGCACCATCAGTGAGGAGACCAGGTTCTGAGAGGCTCAGCCATGTGGCTAAGTGACACAGCTGGCGAGTGGCTGATCAGGATTCGAAGCAGATCTGCCCACTTCCTAAGACTGTGGGAATCCCTCCCTGCCTTGCTGATTCCAAAGAAAATGTCCGTTATTCGTCGTCTCACTTTCCAAAGACCAGGACAGAAGGTACTGGCTGAACAATTAACTTATATTTATCAGATGATTCAGTGGCATATTTTTAGATTATGATGAGTCCCATGGTGCTCACTTCCTACCAGGCATTTTACTAAAATGTTTATATGTGGCTCATCCATTCATCGAGAACCTACTGTGCACTATTCTAAATGTTGAGGATTCAGCAGTGAACTCATCAAGTAAGAATTCCTGTCTTTTTGGAGCTTAACTTCAGCTGAGGGAAGGGGGAACAGCAACAAGTAAATAGTTATACAGGGTGTTGGATGATAACTGCTGTGGTAATAGGTAGCTGGGAAGGGGGCATGGAAAGTGATGGGTGGCAGAGGTCACAATTTTAAATGGAATAGTCAGGATGGACTCACTGAGAGGACTATGCTTGAGCAGGTTTAAAGCATGGAGGAGGAGGATTCCAAGCAGGGGAACAGCTTGTGCTAAGGCCCTGAGGCAGGCGTACACCTGTCCTGTTCCAAGAACAGCAAGGAAGCCAGTGAGCAGTGAATGAGGAGGTGAGTAGGAGATGAGGGCAGAGAGGTAAGAGGGGGTGGTATCATGTATGACCAGTGTACAGACCATTTTTTTTGCCTTCTGTGAAATGGGGAACCGCTGTTTATTTTTAAATTACAATGATGGGAAATGCAAACATTTCCAGGGAAAGAGTAATATACTGATCTCTCATGTACCAAGCACCCCGTTTCAACAACTATCAAGTCATGAAGTCATAGCCAGCCCTGTGTCATCCCAGCCCCTCTCACTCTGTCTTCACCCAAGGACATGCCCGGGGATCACATATGGGAGGGAGAAAGCATGACTCCAGGGCTTGATGTTGATCAGAGGGAACTGTCATTTCATTTCATCCTTTTAAACTTTACAGCATTGGGCTTCTCAACAGAAATGCCAGCATCTAAAATTCCGAGGGAAGTCATTTCCAGCCTGAATTTTACACGCAGGCAATTTTACACCCAGGGAGATACAGTCTAGCTCTTCAGAATGTATTTCCCGGAAGTGGTCCAGAGGAGAAGGTAAATTTTAGGGTTAGGAAAAAGGAGGCCACTAAGACATAAACCTTTTAGAAGTTAAAGATATCTGCAGTGAACTTGAAGGGACAGTCTCAGCAAAGAGCGACAGGGAATGACAGGCTGGGGGAGGCTGTTACGCAGTTTCCCGTCTCCTCGTGGGAAGCTGGTTGCACTGTGTGTTCCTAGGGTTATCTTCCTGCACTGCTCCTTGGTTGTGAGAATGGTGAAATGGATGGAACACTCGCTGTGTTTGCACATACTAGAAACCCTTTATGACAAAGGGTTTAGGGATGCAGCAGTGATAAACACCCAGAAACCAAAGTAAATTATGTTTAAAAGAGTCAAAAGTAAAAAGTTATAGGAGAAAGGAAATGGAATCATTGTATTATATGGCTTGGTTGAGATCGGTATCTAAATAGTCATAATAATATAGATACTAAGTATCAATCTAACCTCAAAGAGTAACATAACCATGTTTGGAGGAAGGAGAATTGTGTATATAGTGTTTGTGTGCGTGATGGGAGTGCTGAAGAAATACATCTATTAGCCAATGCCTAAAACTGAAAATAGGAGGAAAGCGGTGTTGGAGGTATGCTTTCCATGGGCAGGAAAACACCAAAAATACCAACTGAATTGGAACTGCTCACTTATTGGGAGTTGGAAAGGAGGAGTTGTGGGGAACTGCATGTTTTTGTTAAAAAAAACAAAAAAGTTTTAGAAATATTTGGCTTCTTCAACTATGTCCAAATAAAACTTTAATTTTAAAAATAGATATTTTCCTCAGAGGTTCTCTAGAAAACCATGCTGTGTGGCATCGGACCGTCGCTCACAGTACAGTGGGGCTGGTGAGAAGAGGTAGTATGGAGGCAACACACGGATGGACAGGTAGCAGACAGGAAACAGGGAGGCCGAATCCCCACACCAAGCAGGGAGCAGCCAGGCCCGCAGGCCTATCAACGAGCTGCACTTTCAGGGTGACTTGAGTGAGTCCCTGTTCCCCTCAGGAAGTGGGGCTGTGTGGAAAGCAACATCCTCATCCTGGGGACCTGAACCCCCTCCCTGGCCAGTTAGTGAACCACCCAGGAATCTCTCTCCTAGCCCCTCCCAGTGTCTGAGACCCCTCAGGTACCCTGGTATCTCATCTGAGACCCCTCTCTGGGCATCTGAGACCAAGTGCTACATACATGGTGAGGGGGCATTCATTCATTCACCATGTGTCCCCACAGCCTAGAATTCTATCCTGCATGGAGCCAGTGCCCCAGCAAAATAATTCTGAGGTCCACAGGGAGAGTTGCTTGTTCCCTCCTAGGAGGCCATGGTCTTCCATCTGAGATGTTCTCCAGGGCACAGACACTAGGCTCCTCCAGACCTCAGCCCCAGACTCTGGAGATTCCCCAGGAGCCCAGCCCATCCTCAGGCAAGGGAGACGAGACCTGTGGATGCTCCGGGCACACGTGTCCATGTGGTCTTTGGCAGCCGAGTTGTCCATCTCACTGTGGTCCAAGTCCTTTGGGCCCACGGTCAGGGTGGCATGTGTAAAGAAGAGGCTGGGCCAAGGGACAGTTGTACTGCCTTTATTCCCCTCCACTCTTCTCCTCACCCTCCTGCAGTCCCCCACACACTCCGGGGCTGTGGGATGACCACACAGGGCAGACATCAAGGGTCCACATACCTGGGCACAGCCGTTTTGCCGCTGAACACCACCCCCCACCCCCCCGTGATTGCCGAGGGGTGCCATGTGGGCCATGGCAGCACACGTCAGGATCAGAGGCTCAGGATTTGCCCCCACCACCAGCACCCCCGGCCCAGGTTCCTAGAACTGTGGTCATGGGGCTTGAATGGTCATCTCTCTGGCCACTCATCCCCAGCTGGCCCAAGACCAGGGACTACAAGGGGAGATGGGGAGGGGCAGGCCAGGTTCCAGGCTTGAGGCTCGGCCAAGTGGGCTGAGAAGTCCAGCTGGACAAAGTGGCCCCCCTTGGCAGATCTGCAGTGGTAGGTGACCACCCCAAGCCCCCTCCCCATCACCAGCCCTGGGAAGTGGGTATGATGGCCCAAGCCCCTGGCTCCAATATCCAGGTGCTTGTTAATTTGTTTTAAAAATTAAAAAGGAAATGTAAAAGCTGGTAAAACAAGAACCCCTATCCATACGGGCACAGCTGAGGTTCCATTATTGCTTCAGACCCTTGTGGTCTGGCCAGAAAGGAGCTCCCACCAACACTGGCCCAAGGGGAAGAGAGCATTTAGCACCAGGGACACAGGGCTCCTGTCCCCGCTGGGACGGGGGCCTCCCAGGAGAGGGGTTGGCCACACCCATCTAAGCTATTAATACAATGACCATCTGACCAGTGCCCAGCCTGCTCTCTGGACCCCTCTTGTGCCCTGAGAAGGGAAGCGTACAAGAGTAGGAGACCCGAGTCCTGGGGCAGGGTCTCACCAGCAGCTCCCTACAGCCTTTGCTTGTGGAAGTCTGACTTCATGGATCAGAAGCCCAGCCTGGCCAGGGCCCCCTAGGCTCTCTAAGGCTGCAGTGAGGGTAGTAGGTGGCATGGCCACCAGCTGTAACGGGAGATCCTGGTGTCAGCCACAGGGGATGAGAAGCTCAAGGGAGTCCCAGCCTACAGCCCATTTGGGGAAATCAGACTTTTCTTAGGAAAATGTGGGCCAGCTCTGAAGAGCTGCCAGGCACTGGGACTGGAGGTTGGAAATAGCCAGGGAGGGGGGGAGTGGGGGGGGGGACCCTGAGGACGTCATGGAAGCCCAGAGATCAAGGGGTGCAGGAGAAGAAAAGAGCTAGAGTAGAGCAGGAGCCTGAGAGGTGCAACCCTGACCCCAGAGGAGGCTAGAACCCCCAGCCTCGGGGTGGGGGAGCTGCAGTGCTGGGAACCAGACAGGGAGATTTCCTCTCTTGAGGGGGTGCCCAGAGGACAGCAGGGGCATCTGAGGGTATGTATGTAGGCTCTGGCTTGCACTGTTCCTGCTACAGCCCCAAACTCAAACCCTCTAAGCCCAGAGAACAATCTGGGCTGTGTGGCTTGGATTCTAAATCCTCAAATCATTCGGGCTCCTTGGGCTTACCCACATCTGTACAGAATAAAGTGCTTCGTTTATTGATGATTAAAATGTCCCCAGCCCCCTGCCCCAGCGCCATGGACCTTACAAGGAGGTCTGAGGGGTCCCGAGCCCCTCAGCGCTTGTGCTGATGGGGCCAGTCCCGCCTCCACCACCCCCTGGGCTCAGGCCTCTTCCCACTCCAGCCATGCTGGGAAGGTGGTGGTGTGGGGGTAGTCATGGGGGTTTAAGGTGCAAAGAGTATAACAAACAAAACTGTATAAACACAATAGGAAAGAGCTTAACTAGGAAATATGTAGCTTATGGAACCGTCCTCCCCCTTTTAAAGGCAGGAATCAAGACGTTAAATGACAACAGAAAAAGGATGTCCTATTAGTGCTGGCCTCTTGAGGGCAAGCATTGAACACAGGCTGGGGCTCTCCCAGCGCCCCCGACCCTGACCCCCAGGGCCTGATCATGCAGGCTCCTTGTGCCACCCATAAGCACAGAGGCCCAGGAGGGACAAGGGTGCTAGATGCCAGCCAGGGGCGGGTTGTGACCAGGCCGAGGGAGTGGAGGAGGCTTGCGCTGCCTTCAGGGAGCAGACAGACACAGACACACACATCTCTAGTGTGGGAGATGCAGCTGGGGCAGCTGGTAAGGGATGCGGTGCTCTGTGAACAGCTGCCCTGGCCTCCGCCCCACTGATAGCACCTTGAAACCTCAGAACATTGGCCCAAGCCTCCTCCTTAGGGGCCTGCCCTTGGGATCCACCCATCTGCAGGGGCTCCTGGGCGGCAGACCCTGGGAGCTGGTGGTGTGGGAGCCAGCCTGTCAGTCCACCCAGGGCCTGGCCCACAACACCCTGAGGCCCAGCGGCTTCTGGGGACATCTTCTCCAGGACCCAGGGCCCTCGGTGCAGCCTAGTGCAGGTCAGGGATCCCTGTGCCAGCTGCAGGGTTGTGAATGGGGAAAGCAAATGTCTGGGGTCCAGCCCCTGCCCGCCCCACGCCGCCGACCCTCCCTGTGCAGAGCTGCAGTCTTCACGCCTTGCCACAGCCTCCCAGCACGCTCCCAGGGCATCCAGGCTCAAGACCCTGCCTGGATATCCACAGCCCTCACACTGAGTCCACACCTCCTCCAAAGGGGGATGGCACCCCAACTTCTACCCAAACCCTCCAGGATATGAGGCACAAGTTAGGAGGCCCAGGAGAGGTGCGGATAAGTGGCTGAAGGTGATCCGGGCTGGGCCACGCCCCCTCCCTCTGGCTTAGGCCTCAGCAGAGTGACCAGTCACACCTGCTCCCTGGGCCCCTGTCCCCCCCTACCTGCCGCCTCCAGCGCCCCCCTCACCTGGAGGGGGATACTGCCAACGGTTTCCTCTTTTCTTTTTCCTTCACTTCCCCCAAAACGAACAACAAAAAAAGTAAGGGCTTCAAGGAGTCACTGAACGGGGGCACTTGGTAGCGAGGCGTCCTCAGCCAGCTCCGGGGCTGCCCGCCTGCACACCCCCCAGGGTCAGGGGCCTCGGCGTGAGGCCGGCGTCCAGCCAACTCCGGAGGTGTCACTGCCCCCCAAGGAGGAGGGCAGGGTCCTGGGCCCCTTGCAGCAGGCACGCAGTTAGTTGTTGGTGCTCAGCCTCCCGCTGCCCGGGCTGGAGGCCGTGGGGAAGAGAGGCGGCGGGGGCGGCAGGTGCGGCGGGGGTGGCAGGGTCTGCGGCAGCCCGGGCAGCAGGGGCAGCGCCTGGGGCGGGGCGGGGGGCAGGCCCGGGGCCGCGGGGGCGCCGTCGCTGGCCATGGGGTGGCTGACCCGGAAGCACTTCTCCTTGTGCGCCTTGAGCATGTTGGAGAAACGGAAGCGCTGGCCGCACACGTCGCAGGGGTAGGGCTTTTCGCCCGTGTGCGTGCGCCGGTGCCGCTTCATGTTGGGCCGGCTGGTGAAGCTCTTGCCACAGATCTCGCAGATGTACGGCTTCTCCCCTGCAGGGTGGGTGGGGATGGGCCTCGGGGAGTTACTTGGGGGGTGGGGGGTGGGGCGCCACGCCCCCCACCCCCAACCTGTAAGCCAGCCTCCCTCACCCGACCTTGGGAGCCAGGGAAGCGGGGGCTGAGCCTCAGGAAAGGGCAGAGAAGGATGCCCGCTACGGCGGAGGCCATCACCGTTGGATCGCGGTACCTGTGTGGGTCTTCATGTGCTCATCAAAGTACTGCTTCATGTTGAAGTCTTTGCCACACCACTGGCACATGAACTGCTTGTGGCCGATGTGGATGCTCATGTGTGACCGCAGCTGGTACTTGTACTGGAAGCGCTCATTGCAGTTCTGAGGGCGGGGTGGGGTGGGGCAAGACCCGAGGCAGAGCGGGGGTGAATAACCTTCAGGGAGGGAACAGCTGGTCCCCAGATCATAGGGCCGCGGGACTCACAGCGGGAGGGACTCCTGGGCAAGGAGGGGTGGGTGCAAAGGCCAGCGGAGGTGTCCCTGGGGTGGGGCAGTGCACGGGGCACAGGTAGAGAGGCCCAGGCAGGAATGGGGCTCAGGAAGTGCGAAAAGGCCCCAGAGTGGAGGGAGCCCTTGTGCTTAAGACTCTCCATCCTTCCTCCTTGTCCAGAGGCCTCCCTCATCCCCACCTGCAACTCCATCTCTGATCTCTGCCTAAGATGTGTCTTTCTCCACCTCTCCAGAAAGCCTGTCCTACGGTTCCAACCCACGCAGACTTCCCACCCTGAACGTGCAGCAGTGAGATAGGGAGAGGTAGCAAGGGTGTGTGTGGGGGTGGATGTAGGTAGGCAACCAGGGAAGGATGGAGTAGGAGGCAAATGACAGGAGGGCCCCCTCTCTTTCTGCACCCTATACTCCAGTCTCCCCACCCCCTGGTTTTTAAGCTGCTGTTGCCCCTGATCCCTGCCCTGTTCAGGGTGGCCCCTGGGGCAGAAGTGGACTTACCTCGCATCTGAACGGCTTCTCCCCGGAGTGCTGCAGGGAGTGCACCTTGAGAGACATGCTGCGTTTGAAGGACTTCCCACAGGTCTCGCAGGTGAAGGGCATGTCCTTGGTGTGGGCTACGGGGCAGGCACGATGGCCATGACATTTTGGGGGGACCCACCTGGCTTCTCCCAGGGGACCCCTGCTGGACCACCCCCCACGTTGAACCTTGAACCCCCCTCCTGGGGCACCATCTACCCTGGGACCTGCCCTGTGCCCTCTGTCCCCCAGGCTAGGTCCTTCCCCTTCCCTCCCTGTCCCTCCCTCCCTCTCCCGCCTCTAGGTCTCTGTCTGCTCAGCCAAGCACAGAGGCCTTCTTGGTTCTTTAGCCTTGGCTCAAATCCTGGCCCAGTCACTGGTTCCCTGCATGGCTGCTGTGAGCCTCAGTGAGTCTCAGCATCCTCTTCTATAAAAAAAGGAAGAGTGGTCCTGGGTCTCCAAGGTGGCTGGGCTTTACAGAGGATGGCACCTCTAAAGGCCTCAGCCTTGGGTCCCCTGCCATCCAGAAGGAGTTATCTGCGTGCACCCCCCCAAAACAAACTCCAAGGAAGATGTGGGAAGAAGTGATTGGAGACAGGGAGGGCCCCCCTCACAGTTCAGAGCTGGGGAGTCCAAGCCCAGGGAGGACCACCAATCCTGGGGTGCCTAGCATGCTCCTGGCTGATACACCCCAGCTTCCCAGCTCCTTGTCAGTTCATATTGGAAGCCTCCGGCACTGTCTGGCAGAGAAAGGGCATCATGTCTGGCCAGGGCTCACTGTCTCCCTGGCTAGACAGTGGGGAGAGCTCCAGCCCCCAAGTGGGCAAAGAAAGGAGGGCCACCCAGACACCAGACTCTCAGCCAGGCCCACCTAGAGGGGAGGGACAGCCATGCCCAAGGCAGCGAAGTCGCCCAAGACACACTTGTGTCCAGGTATGACCCTTGGGAGGAGGGTTGCATTCAGAGAAGTCTGAAGCCCTGTCAGGGGCACAGCTGTCCTCAGACTGAGACAGGGGCTGTGTCAGCCCACACAGCGAGCATTCTGTGTAATTTAGCGGAAGGTGCTCTGGTGGACCCAGCCCCATGTTGGGGCGCACAACCTAGTTAGCAGTGTGCTAACAGGATTCTGGTCTCCACCTGCCCCTGTCATGAGCCCTTGTGCTGTGTTCAACCTGCCCAACCGTACATGGCAGCCCTGGCCCCACTGCTCCATCCACTGTCCCCGCCCCACCTCCCAGCTACTTGGCGCCTTCTCATCCCTTTATCTTGTCCCTGGATATGAAAGACTTCCTAGCACACCCAGCAGCTGGCCCAGCTTGGACCTCGGGCCCGTTCTGCCACGGGCCTAGACTCACCAACCATGTGCTTGCGCACGTGAGCCATGGTGTAGAACTTCTTCTCACAAATTTCACAGGAGAACTTCTTTTCTGCGTAGCCGTGCACAATTTTATTGTGCTCGTGGAGGGACCAGAGCTTCTTAAAAGCTTTGCCACATGTCACACACTGTGGAAGGAGAAGACTTTAGGCCCTGGGTCAGGACCATGTGACCTAGGACAAGTCACTGCCCCTCTCTGGGCCTCAGTTTTCCCACCTGAACTGTGCTGGAGAGAGAGGCCTTGATGGCCAAGGACCAGCTATGTTTGATATTCTGAGAGTCAGGGGTGGTAAATCCCTAAATATTCTTACCCACCTGCCCACCCGCCCAGGGCTGCAGCCTGGGGCCCTCCCTCCTCATCCTGAACTCACTAGGGTCATGGGCCACCTCTTCCACGAAGTCCCTCCTCTGTGCTCATTTCAACAAGACATCTTTCTACAGAGAGGAGACACATAACTGGCTGAAGGGCCACAGTGGGTGAAGAGGCTACAGTTAAGGGGGAGCCCCCCGGATAACAGGTCCTGGCAAAGCTTGAGACATTATCTCTGCTGCCTCCCCTGCTGGGACCCATACCTTGACACCACAGAGATCCCCAAGGGAACAGGTTCCAAAGGGCTGGGGGACTGCGGGAGGTGCAAGGGCCTCTTGGGCACAAGCTGGTAGTGGGAACCCTAGGGACCACACTCCCCTCCTTCTAGTCTCCTGGGCCCTTATCCCTGCAGTAGGTCAGGGCTTGGGCAGAAATTGGGTCAGGGTACCCAGGGCAGAAGAGGTACAAGCGTCTTTCCCTTTCAGGAGGGAAGCTCAGGGGTGTGCATGTGGAGAGTCACAGGGCAGCCCAGCAGGCAGGCAAGTGGGAGCGTGTGCCTAAGGGTGGGGCAGGAATCCAGGTAACCCTCAGGTAACACTTTCCCCAATTAGCAATTAGTTCAGGCAATTAGCATCGCCTACCTACAGCCCCTCAACCTCACTCCCAGCCAGAAAAAGACAAAAAATCACTTGACTGGCCTTGTGTTGTCTTCACCCTGAAAGGCCAGGCTGGCCCAGATGCAGGCTGGCTCAAGGCTTGGCAGTCAGCCCAGCTCCCCTGTTTGGCCCCAGCAGCCTTCCTGTTGGGCCCCCTGCACTTCCCAAAGTGCTCATCCAGTCCCTCTTCCCCATGCCCAGGCCAGCTGGTACCTCCAAAGAGTTGAATGCTGGGGTTTCCTCCCGCCTGGCTGCCCCTTGCTCCACTCAGCCCTTGTAGTAAGTGGAAAATGGCGCCCCCTTCCGGTCAAGCCCCTCCTCCCCTCTGTGCTTTCCTGCAGCGCTCAATCTACCAAACTATATACATGGTGGCCCTCCTGGCTTTGCAGCAGTCCAAAGATTTACAAAAACACTGACTCATCCCTCCTCAGAGCTGGCTGTCCCCCAGCCTCACATGCTCAGACAACTCTCTCCTCTCATTCTCCTGAGTCCCTGCTACCCTCTGCCTCTCTGGCAAGGGTACTGTTTGTTCCACTCCTTTCTGCACATCTCTGCTCTTGCAGAAGCCCAGCTCTATCTGCCTCCTCCAGGAAGCTCTCCCTGACGTCATCCCCTGAGCTCTCACCACCCTGGGCTCACCCTTGGGCCAGGGCTGGTCCCACTGTCCCCGGGGTGGGGTGGGGGGGCGCGGAGCTGAGCCTGGTCTCTGCAGACTGTGCAGACAACGCAGGCAGCAGGCCACTGGGTGCCCAGGGCCCAGTTCCAGCCTGGCTCAGCCTGGATGGCTGCCCCCTGCAGGCCCCTTGGAGGCCCACCTGGATGTTGCGTTCGCAGTCCGTCTGCCGGTGCAGCAGCAGTTCGCTCTCTAACAGGAAGCGCTTGCCGCACTGGTCGCAGATCTGCATGCGGCTGTGGGTCACGTTCATGTGCTTCTCTAGGTACCAGCGGTTGTTGAAAACGCGCGGGCACTTCTGGCACGGATGGTGCTGCTTCTCCTCCAGCTTTACCTTGGCCCCCAGCCCGTCGGCAGCCTGTGGCCCTCGGGAGCCAGGAGCGGGAGCCACTCCTTCAGGGGGCTTTGGCCGCTTCCCGCCCCGCCGCCCGGCCTCCTCCAGCTCAGGGGGGCCACGGCGCCGGGCGGACCTTGTGGCCATGCGACTGTGGGCCGGGGGCTCGGCCCGGCTGCCTCGGCGCCCCAGCCCGCCCTGCCGGCCCCCCGCCTCCCCATCCTCCTCATCTTCCTCCTCCTCTGAGCTCTCCTGATCCTGCTCGCTGTGCCCTTCCTCTTCCTCCTCCTCTTCCTCCTCCTGCTCGCTCTGCCCTTCCTCCTCCTCGTCCTCCTCCTCCTCCCCCTGACTGCCGCCCTCCTCGTCCTCCTCCTCCTCCTCCTCCACGCCACTGCCTCCTCCCTCCTCCTCCTCCTCCTCCTCGTCCTCCTCCTCGTCGTCGTCCTCCTCCTCTTCCGAGTGTCTCTGCAGCCCGTCCTCCCGGCCCAGCACCATGGTGGCCGGGCCCGTGGCGGCGCCTGGCTTGCCCTCGGGCCCTGTGGACACGTGCAGCGTCTGGTTGTTGAGGTTCACCTCCACGATGATCTGGGACTGCTCCCGCCGACTGTAGGTGCCAGAACCCCCGAGCTCTTCCTCCAGCTCCTCCCCACCCTCCAGCTTGCACAAGCTGGCCGGGGGCCCGCCGGCTTCTTCAACGCCACCCTCCTTCTCCTCCTTGAAGAAGGGCTGAGCCGGCCCGAGGGCGGCGGGCACCGCGCTACCCGTGGCCCCAGCCCCGTCCTCCACGCGCACTGAGTAGGGGTCGGGGCCCTCTCGGGCATAGATCTTGGGCAGGCCCGGGGCGTCGGCCTCCTGCTTGATGTCGCAGTAGTAGGGTGGTGCAGCCGGGGTGCAGCCGGCAGCCGGCTGGGCGAGGGCCACGGCGCCAGGGCCCGGCGGGCCGAGGGAGCGGGCGTCCAGCAGCTCCTGGCAGGACGCGGCGATGTCGGCCATCTGCAGCAGTGAGGCAGCACTCAGCACCTCGTGGACGTTGGCCGCGTTGACCAGCAGCTTGGACGTGTAGATGAAGTTGAGGATCTGCTGCAGGCCGCCGGGCGCCAGCGCCTCCAGGGACAGCTCCACGCGCTGCAGCTGCTTGTTCTGGGTGAAGAGTGAGTGAAAGAACTGGCTGTAGGCGGCCAGCACACCCTTGTGGGCCGGGAAGACGCTGCGCTGGGGCACCAGCACCAAGTCCACGTCGCACAGGTCAGGCTGGAACAGGCGCTGCTCGTTCAGGCGGCCCATCAAGCAGGCGAAGTGCAGCGCCACGTCCTCCACCAGCGAGAACTCGGCCGCCGGTGAGTCCGTTGTCTTCTCAACCAGCAACTGAGGGGCCAAGGGCACAGGTCAGATTGAGGCCAGCCAGGAGGTACCCCCCCCAGCCCCCATCACTCTTGGGTCCACATGACAGAGAAGGTGCCGAAACTCAAGCAAAGACGACAGGGAACCCGGATTCAAGCCCGAGTCAGCTCTCCCTCAGAGCTCAAACTCTGGCCGTGACCTTCTGAGGCCGTGTATCAGCTCCCGGGTCAGTGGTTGACTTTTCTGGGCCTCCCGCTGTTCCACTGTGAAATGAGAGCAGTCATCCCGGGAAGGGAAGTGGAAAAGGAGGAAAGGGGAAGGAAAAGGTTCAAGGGTGACCAACCGTGCGGGTGGGTCAGGAACCTAGGGGTTTCCTGGGATGCAGGACTTTTGATGCTAAAACCAGGGCCGTCTCCAGCAAAAATCAGGACTGGGTTGTCTCCCCAGAGGCATAATTTCAGTATTTCTGGTCCCCATGGGTTCTCTTCCTGACACTCAGAGATAAAACCAATCCTGCCCAGCCCCAGACCCCTCAGAAACAAAGGTCACAGTCACTGTCCCAGAGGTACAGTGGTCAGAGGCAGAGCAGTGAGCCAGGTGACTTCTGTTCCTGAGGTGTCTGGGGTCCAGGAGGATTGGTTTTATCTGTGAGTGAGTGTAGGGGAGAGAATCCATGGAGCCTGGAAATACTGAAAGGATGCCTGTGGGGAGGTGACCCAGTCCTGGTTTGCTGGGCACAGCCCTGGTTTTACCATCGAAAGTCCTGCATCCCAAGGCCTATACCAAACCCCTTCCCTCTAGTTCCCCCAGACCTCAGGTCAGGTGTGGTACAGGCCCAGAGGTTCCCAGATGATGTCATCTCAGTGGAGCCTGAAGGAGGCCCTTGAACCTGATTGGTCAGATTATTAGATCCTTGGGCCACATTCAGTGCCTGTGAATTGCCCAGAGCAAGGGCTGGCTTAATTCTTGGTCCCACCACAGCGGCTTCCCCAAAAGCTGAGCAGCACAGACAGGCAGGCTGCCCAGTCCCTTGCATGGACCCAGCGCGCAGCAGATGTTCGGTTAACAGCTATCGACGACCTGCCTGGCTGAACCTGCCCTGCAGGTACTAGGTTCTGGCCCTCCTCCGGCCCTGTCCGCTAAGTCAGAGCCTCCTACATTTGAGGGTACCTTGTTGCATTGCAAAGCCATCAACTCTCCTACCCTATGCTTTTCTCTGGAAGCCTTGGGATGAAACCCCAGTCCCATCCATCCACAGCCTACCCCTCCTCTTTATGTCCATCCTTTCAGTCACTTGAATGAGAGGATCTGCCCTGGGCTTCACCCTTCATACCCAGTAGCCCAGGGCAGCACCCACCTCATGCTGTCTCTTTTTTTCAGCAGCTGCAGCTTGTGGGCTTTAGTAGTTGTGGCACATAGGCCCGGCTACCCCGCAGCACGTGGGATCTTCCTGGAACCAGGGACTGATACCATGTTCCCTGTATTGGCAAGCAGATTCCCAACCACTGGACCACCAGGGAAGTCCACCACCATCTCTCTTGAGTTACTCCCCAACACCTCCTTCACCCCAGCCAAGAAGCCACTTGTTTGTTCCTCTGTCTCGGGGCTGCTAGCCCATCTAGGCCTGACCAATCTAACAGGAATAAGGTGCCACCCCCCTCTCATCTCCATCCTCTGACTCATTCTGATTCATCTTCTGGGACCAAACTTTGTTACCCAGATGGGGAAACTGAGGCTCAGAATGCGAGTATCACAGTCAACAGAAGCAGAGCCCCTGCACTCTCAGCCCTGCTGGGGCCACCCAATCTGTGTTGGACTGGATACTGTTCCATGTGGAAGTATTTCTTGGCCTTTAATGACTCAAAAAGCAGGCCGAGGCATCTCGGGACCAGCTGTGCTTCCCCAGACCCCACCAGCACCTCCGGCAACCTGTACCCTCCTCCCTAGAGCTGCTGCCACCTGCAAGTCAGTGAGGGGTCAGGATGCAATTTGGTGGTAACAGAAGTTCCTCAGGGCCTCCAGGGGCCAGAGAGTGGTGGGGGAGTAGCTTGGATAAGGACTTGTCAATGTCAGACCCGTTGTGGGGTACCCACCCCAGGTCCACTTCTCCTTCACAGAATGCCCCCCAGTGCCTGTCTGCCATGGGTCAAGGGCAGTGCCTAACATTTCCTGTGTGCACATCTGGTCCCAGGATCCAGTGAAGACTCCTCTGGCTTCAGCAGGGGAGGAAAGGTTAGCCGAGGGGGTAGTGTTGCCCCAGAGACTCCATTTCTGAGGCAATACCCCCAGGCAAGGCTGCAACATCCTTGGCCCTTGAGGGGTCCAAGGATCTTACAACCAGGAGCCCTGACTGGACTTCCTTGACCAAGCACATAGATGCTGCCTGAGTCCTTATCTGGCAGCCCCTCAGTGGCGTATGGCTACCCCCTGGCCTGGTACCTCCCACACAGGGCCCACCAGCTGTGTCTGCCTCTCCAGCCAGATGTGCCAGTTTCCTGAAGCTGTAGATACCCCTCCCCATCTGGCTGTGCCAGCTGCAGTCACACACCCCACCCCAAGTCCAGGCCAGCTGGGCTAAGATACAAGACCAGAGGAGTGGTCAGGCACTTCTGTTGCGAGGGCATTTAATGCTCTCAAACCCTCCCCCACAAGCCAGGCTGGTGGGGGCAGGCCAGGTGCCAGGGACACCTGCTGAGGTTGCTCACCACCGGCAGAGCCTTCTACTCCTGAGAGGTACCCTGCCTCACCATCACAAAACCACCAGCTAGCTCCCTACCCTGCCCCAGAGTCTCCCTGGAGGCCCCAGGGTGAAACCTGGGTGTCCATCTGCACCCCCTACTCCTTGTCAATCCTTCTGTCCCCAGACAGCAGTGGGTGGACCCAGGCTGAGTACGGCGGGGCACAGGCTCATGACTTACAGCCTCCTCCTTTTAGGGAGAGGGTATCTGTGCCAGCCTCCTCGCAACTCAGGCCACTCGTCCTTCCCGAGAAACAGGCCCAGAGAGGGCGGGGGACGGGTCCAAGGTCACACAGGAGTTTGGACCAGAGCTGCAGGCGTCCTCCCCCCATCCCGCTTGGCCCAGGAGCCCCGAATCCCCTGGCAGGGCGGCTCCAGCGCCCACGTGGCCCAAGGCCCAGGCGGGAATCCGACCTCCTCCCTCCCCCCATCACCCAGTCCGAGGGCGGCGCCGTCCCCGGCCCAGAGAAGCGCCCCCCTCCGCCCGATCCTAGCAGGACCTCAACCTCTCGCGCCCGGGCCCCAACCCCAGGAATTTAACCCCTTCCCAGCCCAGGGCTGCGTCAGAGCTCCGCATTCCCAGCCCGCAGGGACCCAGAGAAGGGATAGGGGAAACCCGGCGAGGGCTAAGATCCCTCACACCCCTCCACGCCGAGACGACCGGCTGTTCGCTCGAGAGGGCAGAGCGGGCAGGTGGGCGGATAAGTGGGAGGACAGGCAGGGCCTTGCGTACCATGGTGCCGTGGCGCTGGGGGCTCACAGGGCCCCGCGGGATCGCGCTGCCCCCGGCGGCCAGGCCGGGGCCGCTCCATGTAGCGCCGCGCTGGGGGCCGCCCCCGCGCAGGGCCCCGCGACCATGGCCCCCGGGGGCGCGGCCGGGCGGGCGGAGGCGCAGGGCCGCGGCGAGTCCAGCCGCCGAGCAGCTGCGGCCCCAGAGCCTCAGGCGCGGCGGGCGGGGGGCGCGGGGCGCCGATTGGAGCCCGCGCGTCAGCTGGGGCCGCCGTCTGGACGCTTAAAGGGCCAGGCCGCCCTGCGCGCCGGCGGGGGCGCGGACACGCGTGGTGTGCGCCGTCCGGGTGCAGCCAGCCCCGCCTCGGGCCGCCGCGGGCTCCGGCCAGGCCCCGCCGCTCCCATCCTAGAGGATGGTCCCTGGACTTACTCTTTCGCACCGAGCCCCCTTTCCGCCGGAAAGTTCATCTCGGAGTCTAACCTGGGAGCCCTCCAGCTGCGCCACCGAGGTGGGGTCGTAGTAGGAGGAGGCCCCCGAAATGGGGAAGCTGGACGCTCCCGCCCCCACCAACCAGTTACAGAAAAGGCTTACACCTGCTCCCCTGAGCGACCTCACACTGAGGGACTGAACCCCGCGTATCCTCGCTGGGTCACCTTCCCCACCCTCTGACCTGGGCTGCTCTGACCTGAGGGTGAGTCTAGGATCTCCAACTGAGCTGGTCCCCCACCCCAATCCCAGGGCAGCTCAGGGTTTATGTTGTTCTCTCTCCAGGACTTGATTCTTGTCGATCCATACTGACCTGGTGGCTGCCTCTGGCTGCACAGGGACGCCCAGGACAGATGGGAGAATGCGAACCACAGCTGCATTGATCAAAGCCTTTCATGTGACAGACCCAGAGCCAGGAGAAGCCAAGACCAGAGGAGTGAGGGCCAGAGGCCCAGGGCCCACTGTGTCCCTCTGCCGTGTAGCTTGATGGCTGCTGAGAGGCCTTCCTGCTGTTTCTGCTGGGGAGATGCAGCCAGGCCTGCGGAATGCTGCTCTGGCATGGATGGCAGTGGGGGCTGGGGGCTGGTTGTGCTGGCTTTAGGCTGCACAGAAACACTGCCAGGCCAAGCAGGCAGCAGAGTGGGGACCACAGGGCGCTGGGCCTCACAGAGCCTAGGTGGTGGCTGGGCCATCATTGTGGAGAGGGGGCCTCTGTGGGCCTCTCATATGTCATCATTTGGATGCTTCTGTTCCCTCACTCCAAGCTGATGGTTGCCCGTTTGGTCACTTTCACATTGCCCACATCCTGGCAATACCACACTGTATCCCCCAGACCCTTCACTCACACATGCACTTGTGCTTACACACTTGCCCATGCCTGCTGTAGCAGTGTTCCCTGAGTATGCCACCTTACTCATGAGTGGGCAGGGCCTCTGGGGCCAGTTCAGAGTAACTTGGTTCTGGGTGCCAGAAAAGGAAATGGAGTAGAGGCCAAGATCCCAGGCAGGCACTACCCCGTAGCCTGGTGTCTGTCCTGTGAAACTGCAAGGGCCTCCCGTGAGGCCAGGATTGGTAGGCCCTTAAGACAAGGCCATTCCAGGGTCAGGGAGAAAACATCTCATGGGCAAAAACGGGGGTGACCAAAGAGTGCCAAGAGGAGGAAATGATATAGCTGGATGGAGGGTGAGATGAGACCCTGCTGAAAAAAAGAGATGGCAAGAGAAGCAGGGGCACAGATGGGGGCTCATGCCCCCAGCGATGACCACACAGCAGATATCCCGCCTCTCTGTGACTGTGGTGGGTGAGCTGACTCAGCTCCTAAAGGCCTCAAGCTGAGGCCAGGCCAGAACAACCTGCATGTCTGACCAGCCCATCACCTCAGGGGCTGCCTTCTGCTTCTTCCACCATCCCAACCCACTTCCTCATCTGACTGGCTCCCTTGCACAGGCCTGAGGGGTGGTGAGAAGGGAATTGTGTACCCATTGGCTGGCTAAGGACAGTGAAGGCAGAGCAGGACAGATCCCACAGTCAGATACCAGCATGAGGAGCCAAGGAAAGGGGAGGTTGGAGCAGCCTGCTCCACAAACTGGGAGGAGCCTGGCAGAAAGCTGCAAGGGACACTCTTGGGCCCATTTCCCAGCCAAGGTTTGGCAGGGATTGTGGCCAGCATGACCAAGATAGTGTTCCTGGCCCTTTTGGAATTGGCCTTGGTTGCAATACTCAAGCCAAAGAAGGGGCTGGAGTTTGGGTGAGAAATGAGGGAATGGGGGGCTCAGTCTTCCTGAAGACCCTGGCTGTTCCCCTTTCTTCTCTGGCCTACAGCCCATCTACTGGGGGAACCCCAGGACAAGCAAGTTCTGGGAGAGGCCACTGGCACTTGGGTCACATGAGACAGGGCAGGAAGGCACTGTCTGAAGAGCTGTCTGGTGGGCTCGTGTGGGGCTGGCTCAGAGCAGAGGACTGAAAGTTGAGTAACACTGAAGCAAAAGGAAAGGACGGGTACTCCCCTGCACATGCCCCAAGGGAGGACAGTTAAACATCTGCAGGGGACTGACTGGCGGTGATTTGATGTAGCAGAATCGATTCTCGTCCTGTAGGAGTAGCCAGATGGAGATAGGCAGAATTGTTCCCTTGGCCTTGGAAAGGGCCATGTCACAGGACCCTCCCTTCAGGGTTGGTCAAGGCAGGCTTTCTAGAGGATCTAAGGTGGGATGAGTTACTGGGGAGGGGGATCCCAGGCCAGAATCACATGCCACGGGGGCAAGTCAGGAGTTTGTGGAGACCAGGGCAGGGTTGGATGATCCCCAGACACTCGGGACTGGGTGCTGGCAAGGTCAGCAAAGCCTGCTTCTAGAGGCCAGCTCAGTGTTTTCTTTTTCTTCCCCCCACAACTTCCCTAAGCTTCTAGCCCCGAACTTCTCTCCCATGTCGGAGGAGGAACAGATGCAAAACGTGCTGGGGCAGCACTTGCGTGCGTCTGCACACAACAGAGTTTAGCCTCCCTAGGCGGGGCGTGGAGCTGTGTAACTGCAATGGGGGAGGAGTAGAGAGTGGGCAGTGCCAGAAAACAGAAAAGGACATTGCAGCACGGGGCTGGAGGGGTGGCAGGGAAGTTCAACTTACCCACTAGGTGTGGACCCAGGGCTCTGTAGGTTGAGGGAGCATAGATCCCTGGGTGGGGGGTTCGAGGGGAGTGGATTGCTCCTGTTCAGAGCTCAGCACTAATAGGCTACAGCTGTAGGTGGTAGGGCCTAATTCAAACCAGCAGGTTGCCCAGTTCCCTCCAGCAGCATAAACGTCATGGCCTAGGCATTTAAGGCCTCCCTAGCAGCTTCCAGGATCCTCTCCCACCCTGCTGGTTCAAGGGGCCCTGAGCCTCTCACTAGTGACTGAGCCTGGCCCTCCTCACACTCTCCAACTGGAGGAAAGCCCAGGAACTAGCGTCCCTGAACCCCTTCAACGTGTGCTTAGTTCTAAGCATTTAATCCTCACCACTCCTAAAATGGAGGAGTTATATTAATAATTATAAAGTCAATTTACCCAGTTACCCACCAAGAAGTGTCAGAGTGAAACTTGAACCCAAGCCGTCTGGCTCAGACCCCAAACCCTTAAAGGGCTGTGCCACAGAACAGTTGCTCACAGAGATCCTTTACTCCTTCAAAATAAAATCAGATTGGGCCAGAGACATTGAGACCGGTGGGATCTTCTCTGGGAATCTAGGCTGGTGGCAGAGGTTTTAGTTGCAGGAGGCTCTGGGTGACCGGAGACTGGGGACATGCCAGCCCAGCGCCCTATCTCCTGTGAGCTCTCTAGGAGGCTGATTCATCTCCAGGATGGCCTGGAAAGGGATGCACACTCCTGGTTTTCATGTCTGGTTGCACCCTCTTTCTGGGTGTGAGCTGAGAGATCAGCAGTCTGACTATTAGCCTCACATTACAGATGAGAGTCAGGCCTCCAGATGCAGAATGCAAGCGTCTGTGCTGAGAGCTCAGGTCACTTTTTTTTTTTTACCCCAATGTCCTCGGATCTCCAGGCTGGTTGGAGATGCAACCCTCCCCCAGCTAGTCTGGGTCCTGCAGACTATGAAACCCAGCTCAGTCTGTAGAGCTGGAGTTCGATAGCTATAGAAGGGGAATGTTGGGGCCTGGGGTCTCCAAGAGGCAGAAGTGCTTGACCCCAAGCTTGGCACAGCCCCACTGCAGTCCTTCTGATTCACAGGGATTAAAGGAGGCAGGAGCAATGGAGCACTCTGTCCTTACCTTCTACTGAAATTATTTAAGAAAACAGTCTGTTCGAGCCTCCTGCTCCTTTGCGTGTTGCCCAGGTAGGCCCTCCTTGCCTCACATTCCTCAGGCACTGGCTGGAGCTGCCCAGGGTCTACGAGCTGCCAACTTCCAGGGAACCAGCTCCTCTTCCCAACCTTTACAGCATCAAAGAACTTCTCCCTGCTGTGTAGGAGTCCTCTTGGCACTCTGCCTAGTTCATCCTTCACAAGTCCCTCATGGGATGTAGGCGCGCACCTCTCTGAGCAGTGGCAGTGGATTCCCTCTCCTAAAGACCCGCCATCTGAGCCCAGTCTTCCCACGTAAGCCATGGCTTCTGGGCCCCTCACTTGGCCATACAGCTTGTCCCTCATCCTGCACTGGTGGAATGTCCTTTCTCTCCCAGGGATGCCTGGCCAGTATTCACGGTCAGTTGTGAGGGGCATTTATTTCCCTTGAATCCTCTTTCTAGCTAACTCAGAACAGTCAAAAGTCCTTGACACATTTCCTCCCAATACTGCCCAGCCGATCAAGATGCTATCAGAACATCAGTAAAGATCATGGCACTTTCTAAAAAATAAGACTCTAAAGGAACCTCACTTGGGGATTTCCCTACAGCAAACTGACTCTACAATTTTCTTTAAATTTTAAGGCAACACATCCAGATTTGACTGTTTTCAGGAACTACCTGACTTGGTGGTTTACTGTTAACTCAACTTTGGAAACTGAATCTCTGCCAATCTTACTGTGTGAGGTTATGTTGTATTCACTAAGAAAGTACAAATCCCTTTGAGTTCTGAGGAGAAAAAAGTTAATTGTATTTGCCCTGCAAATTCTCATGTGGATGCTAAAAATATCACCAGGAATATTTTCTCCCGGAGTAAGTGCTATGTGCTTGCTTGGTGAACCACTGTTAGGGAGGGAAAGGGGAGGCTGCGGGTGGCTTAGCAGGCTGTCCCTGGGCAGCACCTCACAGATGGGGTGGGACACAGTCCCTGCTCAGCAAGGATGTCTGTATGCAGGCGACCTCAGCTGGATGACAACTGGACCTGAAAGAAATCTGGAACTGGCAGGGGAAGCATGGCCAAGCACCATCAATGGTTCTCTGCCCAGGTAAACATTTCTGCCTGAAGTTGTCTCTAGCACCACATTGTGCCCCACCACTAATACCCGGAGAGAAGAGGAAAACGAGCCACAGAGAGAGGAGATGAAATCTCTTCCCTGGCTGGGTCAGCAAAGAGACTCAATGTTTCCTTTTCCATTTCAGAAAGACTATTTGAAGTCTTGGTGAATAAAGGATGAAACATGCACAGACTCAAACATAGACTAAGTATATAGTTTAATTTCTACAAGGCCTCCCTTTTAAGTTTTAGGGAATTTAAATGAAGTATATACAAATTAGACATTGCCAATATATACAAAAGTATTTTCTACTGTTTTTGAACAATACCAGCTATATCATGTTTCATTTGCAATAAAGAGGAAATTACAAAAACAGTCCAACAATGCATTTCCTATTAAGAAACACAATACACGACGTAATTCAATTTTATTAAAAAATAACTTAAAATACAGAACAATCCCCTTTAGGAAGAAAAGCTATTTCTGTAGTCCATTCAGTAAACACACAAGTTGAATGGTGCAGCTGAGGGCTGTTCTTTTCCATGGAGAAAACACACCAGACTTCTAGGGCTCACCTTTTCAGGATAAAATTCTACCCACAGCACAAGCTGCAAAGTTATTGCCTGTGGGAGGTAGAATTCTAAAATGCCCTTCTCTCTTTTCATGCCCCAACCCCAGAAACTTGTAAATATATCACTTCTGTGATTACATTCTATGGCACAGCTGACCTTAAATAGGGACACTATCTCACACATGAACCGTGATCTAATCACATGAACCGTGATCTAATCACATGAACCTTAAAACAGGAGGAAGGCAGAGAGATCTGAAGCATGAGAAGACCCCGATGGGCCACTGCTGGTTTGGAGATGGAGGAAAGCGCACAGGAGGAACGCGAGCAGCCTTAAGGAGCCAACAGAGAGGACCCCCGTTTGACAGCCAGCAAGGAACTCAATACTGCCAACAACCTGAATTAACCTGGAAGCAGATTCTTCCCCAGAGCCTCCACATGCCGCCCTGCTGACCCTTGATTTCAGCCTTGTGAGACCCTGAGCAGAGAATCCAGCCATATCACGCTGGACTCATGAGCTACAGAACTGTAAGCTAAGAAATGAGTATTGCTTTAAGCTGCTAAGTTTGGGGAAATTTGTTATACAGCAATAGAAAACTAATACACTGCCTAAAGGTAACTTTTCTTAATGTAATTAGATTTAGCAGTTTTGGTGTGAGTTCTAAATGCAGTTTTTTCCACTGAATATTATTAAAGCAATATTCTCCTCTGCAGGCAACTTTTGAGAATGCTCATATGAATCACACATTGTTTTATATTCACTATCAAGTGTTTGCTTGAGTCAGGTCCTACTTTGTAATGTACTCTCATCTATCAATTTGGCAAACAATTGGCCACTTAACCCTGTTTATGAACCTTTAATAGGTGATGGTTTGAATACATCCAAGGTCACCCCTCCATCCATCAGGGGTGGTCAGATCCCTTCAACTGAGGGTTCTTTCCCACTTCCCAAGTATAGCAGGCAAGGGGTAGGATGGCACAAAGTTCTGCATCAAATATCCAATATGAATTTCTTCTGCATAACTGGATAAAACTGGCACTAAGGTGATTAAGTACACTTTGGGGAAAAGATCAAACTAAAGATAAAAAAACCCAAAATCTCACCAGTTTTTATAGGTCAAATCATTTTTACAGGAACCACCCAAGACACTGAATATGTGTAATCTATGCAATACTGCACACCCTGATTTCCTGTCTGTTGTCATAGGTTTACCAATCTCACACAAGGTTTCACTGCATCACTGCAGGCCACTGAAACGGAAACATGCTGGCGGGTGCTAAGAACAGTTCAACTGCTCTTACATCTCTTACTTGAAAGGCTTAAAAGCAAAGCCCTGGAAAATGTGTCCAAAATGGCGGCAGGTAGATCTTAGTGTTACTTCTGAAGCCCAGTCTCCATTCAACTCTTCCAGGCATCAGTCCTGGGCAGCATACCCAAGTGGTCACACAGCCCTGTGCCAATCCTGCCTGCTCCATGTCCCCCAGCCCACACCTGTGCTTTAGAGAAGGCTCTCCAAATAGTTAAAGTGAATATAGCTTACAATGAACCCTACTTGGTGCCAATGAATTTTTTAAAAATTTCTCTCTCTTCTGATGGAATTCTAATGTATAGTATATAAGAATAATGCACCAAAAGTTACCAAGCACCAGAGCATAAACTGGAATAGAACTTTTTTTTTTTAAACCAACTGAACTTCTAATAGTATTTATTAAAAAAGCACATGAAACATTAGGGCTACAGAGACAGTGCAGATATTTATAGTTAAGGCTGATCTATTCCTTTTAACCTCACCCGCCAGCCTGAAATAAGACAGTGGGCTGTATTATGACCACGTTCTTGATCCTCTGAGACAACAAAGAAGAAAGGAGCCACTGCCTTATACTCCTGGTTACCATCAGTATCAATTTTGGGTGGTTTGTTTTTAAGAGCACACATGAATAAGACTGTGTAATTGGTATGGAAGTATTCGGCCACCTTTCACAGTTCTCCTTCAGTTGTATGCTTGGGCAGCATAGATGCTAAAACCTTAAAAATGGGCAAAAAGAATCTGTATTCTAAGAAATACATGAGACAAATAATCTAAAATAATATTGCAAATTATACTTAAATTTCATGATTTGATTCAAGAAAAAGAAATTAATTTCCATAGTTGGCTATTGTAAAATGTGGCATACAAATATTTTAGGAGACATATCTGTATTTTAAATTCTATGCACATGTAAATGAACAAATAACAATTAAGAAGTGTCTATTTTTCAAATTCATCTCTAATACTGAAATAGAACAACAGACTGCCATTGAGTTTCCTAAATTTTTAAGTTACCAGATATTTACACATAAGATATAATTTGTATAAAAAAAGGGGGACACTTTCAACTATATCTGCTGCTTTCACTGGGACTTCGGTGATGAGAGTAACTTCGGTCACTTTCACTGTCAGAGCCATAAGATCTACAACTCCTGTATAACAAGACAAAACAAATATACAAATACCTTTTAACTCTCAACCCTTTGAATTCCTGTTGAAGCTTCTTTTTTAATATGAGGGGCTTGAAAGCAAGTGACTTGACGAGGCACAGCATAGTGGGTATAAAAGTACAGTACTGACCATGACAACACTGTGGACTTTTCAAAGATGTTAGTGACAGATGGTGGTGATATCAAGGTGTAAATAAAGAAACAGCACTTCCTGGGGAATTACTTGAAATCCACTCAAGGAAATGAGAATAACTTTCCATGTTACCCAAAATGAACATCAATATTTTAATTAGACTGAAGAAGTAAGGGGGGAAAAGGCCCACAACAAGAGTTTCATTAAAAGACAAGGAAATCAAAATCAAATCAAAATGTGAGCCCAATGAGGGGTGAAGGTGACGTGGGGCAGGGATGGGACCGCTGGGAGAGTGATTCAAGAAGACTTTGGTTATGGTCACCATTCAGTTATTTTGAGAAATATCCACAGAGAGCCAGTCACTTTGCTAGATGCTAAGGGCACACACACAGAAGACTAGAATTCCCTGGGGCTCAAGGGTAGTCTGGAATAGGGTGTAAGATAAATAAAACACACAGCAGGGAACATATCTCAGGGTGAGCAGTCAGGAAGGGCATCCCAGGGGCAGTGAGTGGGTTATTTCAAGAGGCAGGATGGGAGATGGTGAAATGGGCATGTGAATCTCTAAGCAGAAAATAAAGGTTCCAGAATGTTAGTGCAGGGAACACAGAAAAGCCCAAGCTGGAGTTGGTAGGTGGAGAGGCCTCCATGCAATACTCAGGAGCATGGATCTGCCCCTAAGGTCACTGGGGTGTACTTGAAGAGTTTCAAATAAGGGAGTGTCTGTATCACACTGAAATTCTATAAGCACCACTGACTGTAACTGCAATGCACGGGGGTAGTGCAGTGGTGGTGAGGGAGGGTAAGACCAGAAGCCACCAGGAAGGAGACACACAAAAAGTAACCAAAAAGACTTCTGCAATAACTATATGTTACATAAAACATATCTATGAATATATATTAACACATAAAAAACATTTTTAACCATATAAACCACAAATCCTGCTATTGAATCAAGTGACTCTGATATTTTATTATATATTTTTAAAAAAACTACCTTTTTAAAATTTAAAACACTGACAAATTGGCTATTATTTCTATCAAGTAACTCTAAAGAATGGGCCACGGTTAGATTGGTCTTCTCTCTCTATTCCTTCCAAAAGAAATGTTTGTCCAAGGATATGCGAATATTTAAGAATCCACTTTAGATTTAAACATTAACCACAACCAATAAACATTACCCAGCAACTCTTAACACAAAGCCCACTTTCAGTAACTGCCCTTGGACTGATGAAATTCAAGAAGAGAAAGAAGAATTTCTGTCCTTAGAAGATGATGCTTTCTCTTCTATAGCAGTCTATCGCCCCATACCCCAAGTGCCCGCAGTAACTTACAGTGCTTGAAAGAACAGAGACCCACCTGGATCGCCTATTGTAGCTTCTGCCTCGGTGATAACTGTCACTCCTCTGGCTTCTACTTCGGCTCCGACTCCTGCTATAGTAGCTATCATAAGTGTAAGACCTGCTTTAACAGCAATAACAAACACTAAATTTTCCCATTCAAATATTCATATACTCCCATTTCTTTTCAGGTTCTTAAGTGTCTTCATAGAAATATATATATATATATAAGTGTCCTCATAGAACTAACTATATATATATATATATCATATAGCACTATACGATAGAATGAAGATATATGTGCATAACACGTACTGGAAACATTTAATAAAACTGCCCCAGATCAGACTTACCATATTAAACAGAAAAACATTAATTTCAAAACAAAACAAAACAAAACGTTAAATTTCTTTTCTGCACTGAAAAATATCACAAAGTTGACACTGAGTTAGTGTAACTGAATCTGGTGCATCTTATAGGCAATTATAGTCAATAAACCCCTGCCATTACAATTTGACATCAACTATCACTTTTGACATTAGAGCAAAATGGGTCAACAAATAAAAACTGTTTAGAAAGTCAAAGACATGTTTTCCCATGAAATACAACACCTTTAAAACGGGAATTAAAGGGTGGATTCCCAGTCCCTGTCCATACCTGGACCGACTGCGGGGATCATAGGAGCTGCTCCTGGATCTGCTCCTGCTGGATGTTCTAAGAGGAACCACATGAGGGACCATCAATTTGTGGATCAGGACAGGCTACATAAAAAATCTAGGCATTTATTTACCCATTAAGGAGAAAACACAATGAAATCCAGCATCTATATTTATTTAACTTTTCATATTAAAAGCATACTGGAATTTTTTTTTTTTTAAAGCCTGTTGGGTTTCACAGGAAAGGTTTTAAGTTTTACGTAATTCTTCTATGAGGTGCACCTAAAGAAAGTCACTGGGGAAGAACTGGGTGGGGAAGGGGAAGACACAGGGGGGACACTGGTTTGGTACTGAGCAATGACAAGACCCTTTTCAATGGCTACTCCACTCTGCCTGTGCAGGGAGACAGACAGGAAATCACACTGTAGGGTGGGATTCACCAGCTCACCTATGACTCTTGTAACTGCGGTAGGAGCTGCTCCGGCTCCTTGTGCGGCCTCTGCTGTACCACCCTCTGCTCCGACTTCTAGAGTAGCTTCTTGATCTACAATTAAGAGTGGAAAAAATATAATTATATTAACTCATTATGCTGTTAAAAGATTAATTACTAGTAGTGCAGGAGCGGGAAAACCCAATAGAGGAAAGGTCTTTGGAAAGGTCTCTCATAAACTCCTCACAGCAGGTATGACAAGAGATGGCTAATGAGAGTTTAAACTGAACAGAATGAAATAAAGAAAAAACAGAAAAGGCTGTTAACAGGTATGTTCATAGGAGCCGTTTCTGTAATACCAGCAAGAGGAAACAATCCAAATCTTCAATAACAGCAGAATGGGTTTTAAAAAAATTAACACAGATATATACTGAAATATCCTAAAGTAGGAAAATTAACTACATTTACATGTATCAACACAGTTAAACCTTGGGAACATAATGCTGAGTGAAAAAGGCAAATGTAGAACATTTATACATATAAAAAAAGGATTCTATTTGAAAACAACAAAAAACATTATATATAGATAGAAACGTTTATAGAAAGACAACAAAGAAAAACAAGAAAATTATAACAGAAGTTTAGAATAATATTTAACTCCTGGAGAGAAGAGAGAAAGTAGGGTAGCTTTCGGTTGGGCTCTATTATATCAAAGCTCTATTTTTTAAGATAGAAAATTGTTTTCTATACCTTAATCATTTGCATGTTTTATACCATAATGATTAAAAAATTTATACATTTAATATTTAATAAAACAAACAAGAAAATTAATGCAATTTTGCCCCCACCCTGCATTCACTTGGCTCCCAATCCTTTTCCCCCTAGTTTGGACCTGTCATTCAGAATCAGAACAATACCCCTATGTATATGCTACTAACGTAATATCGTCACAGGTTGTAGTTAGTATATACTTATGTTCTGGAAGACAGGTGCAGTTTATTTGCAAAGACATTCTGTTCTCATAAGATTCTAGTCATTTACTCAAACAATTATAGGGTAACTCTGTGAGGTGACTGAAAGATGAGGAACAAACAGTCCTTGATTCCACTGAGTTCACAGGCCAGAAGGGGCGTTAGCCCTGGGTGGGTAACTGAAATAGGGAGGCACAGTTTAGCTATCTCAAGTCTACCATCTGTGAGCTGCTCAACTTAAGAGCAAAATTCTCGGCATTTCTGAAATGAAATACTACCCACTCCAAAGGCAGGGGTAGGAAGGAAGATGACAGTGACCAGAACCACCAACAGCTCAGAGTTATCTAAGGGTGAATGGTAGGTAGACAATGAGCAGACAGCAGACTGGCGAAGCTCAACAGGCACCTGCATCTAGACTATGAACCCAGAGAGAAAAGGCCAGAATTCACCAGCTCTCTGGGGCTTCCTGTGAATCAGAGCAGTAGGAAGAAAAGAAGCCCACACTCAGCCATGGAATGGTCTGAGGGATGAGGAGAGCCAGCAGAGGGCTTCCAGAAGGACTGAAAACATGCCCTGGCAGTGGCCATGCAGAAGTACCTGAAAATCTTAAGTCAGCTGAATGAGATGAGGGGAGGGAAGGCACAGACTACAAACTGCAAGCAATTGAAAAGTAAACAGGAGATGGTTATTATAGATGGTAAATGTTGGTTCCTGTTTTTAAAGAAATCTGCGTAAGGGAAAAAAATGACTGATAAAAACTAGGAAGAAAAAACTTAAAGATTCTGAGTCTATTTTAGGTTAAAGTGATGAAAAATCAAGCACAAAATAATAAAGGGTATGAGTAAGAGGCAGTGAGGTAAAACCATGAAAAGTTTATAAGAAACGAATACAAATTGGTTGTTAACTTTATACCACCATCACCATTTTTTTCAGTTGTAAAAATGCTGATTCTCTGCATTATCCAGTCTACGTCAATGACAAAAGTTAGATGTAACCTGAACCAAAAATCAATCAATCAATCAAAAGATGATTATTTTTTACCATTTCCTGCCCCTTGAATAAAGATCAACTAGATGCATGTCTTGGGTCAGCTAACTTTGCCTCTCTGGCCCTCACCTTCCACTTGTACAAAATGGAGCATTAAATTACTGATTTCTAAATCCTACATATTCCGTAAATACAAGATTCCCTTCTAAGGCATGACTGATAGCAGAGAGTGGGCTCGCGCCTTTAAAGATGGAGACCCTGTCCCCTATCACGGCAACGCATTGCAAATATCAGGGAGCTTTAACTGATAGCAATAGTTTTTTACCCTGAGACCAAACTTCTTCCCCTGAAATCTCTACTCCCTGTGTCTTCAGTCTGCTCTGTGAGTCACATAGCACAAGCCTTCTCCTTACTTCCTCCAAGATATTTGGAAATAGTGATCTTGTCCCTAACTCTGATGTTCTCCCAAACAAAACGGTAACGGACTCCGCTTGGGAGACAAAAAGGAAAGAGAGTAACACTCACCGATAAGATGATGTGGAACTTCTCGATCGACTTCTTGAATGACTATAGGAGACAGACCGTGTTCTGTGTCTTGATTTGGTCTCAGACTTACTTCTAGATCTACTTGGACTCCTGGACTGGCTATCACCATCTCGACTAGGTGTCTGCTCATCACTTGAACTCTCTTGATTTCTTGGCCTCCGGTTTAAGCGTGCCGTCTTTCTAACTTCATCAAAGAGAGACCCAGGTCGAACTTTATTTTTGCTTTTAATTTCTATTCTCAAACCCTGTGGTTTCACTTCAGGCACAGCAGTCAATGCCTTAACGTCCGTGGCACTGGATGTGGTAGCAGATGGTGCTGCAAGGTTCCCCACACCTTGTAAGGGCTTCCATTTATTATCCATGAGGCTGGTCTGACTCTTCTCAGCTGCCTCTTTCTTTATGGCACTTTCTGCAGCACTGGCCAAGCTGGAAGAGCCGCTATCCTGTTTTCCCACCTCACCCACCACTTTGATTTCTGACATGCTGCTTTCCTGTTTTCTCGACTCTGCCTCAGGACACTCTGCTGGCATATCCTGCTTTAGAACAATGCTTATATCCGGGGCATCAAGCCTTGAATTTCCTAGAGGGGAAGCCCCCTCGGCCTTTGCTGGGGAGCTCCGATCAGGAGTGCAAATCTCCATGTTGTCATCTGCTTGAAGCATATCCTCTGCTCCACTTGGGATGCTCTCTTCAATCTGCTGAATGTTTGGAGGAGAACTGACTACATTTTCATCAGTGTTTACAGTAACAGGAGAAATGCTGAGTTTAACATCATCTTTAGTAGGCTGATCAATATCTGATGAAATTATTGTGCTATGTTTACCTGAAAGGCTGCCGTCTTCACAAGGCTTCTCGGTTTGGGGAATATTTTCTTTTATGGTTTCACTATTTTTAGAAACTTGTTTTTTCTCTTTTGCCTCCTGAGTAACTTGCTTTTCATTAATCTCCTCCTCCTCCTCTTCACCAAATTCTAGCGGAGGCTGCCAGTGAAATGCTTGTTTTCGTTTTGGAGTCTTGTGCTTTTTATCTTTTTTTCCTTTTAATTTCTCTTTTGCTTTTTTGGTGTGTTCCCTTTTAATATTCTCCTTTGAGCTGTGTTTATGCTTACGTGGCTTTCCTCTAGTGTTTTCTGAATTGGAATAGAATCCCTCAGAATCAGAGGTTGAGGAGCGCTGTTTGCTTGATTTCCAGGCACTGTTACCATCAGGCAGTAAAGTATTTGCTGAAGACTTAGTTGTGGGTTTGGCTTTGATGTGAATTTCACCAGACTCTGACTCAGAATCTGAAGTGGCCTCACCTTCCTCCTTATCAGAAGATGGCCGGGGACTACTTTTATTGTTTTTAGTTACATCTCGTTCAGAATTTGACTCAGAGTCCCACTTACTCCCAGCGTAATTCTTCCTTTTGGGCTTACTGCTATTTCTAAAGTGATCAGAAAGATTTTCTTTCAAAGTTCTTTTTTTTGAACGAGGCCATTCCCGTTCAGGCTTAGATTTCTCTTCATCTCTGTTTTTCTCCTGTTTATTATTCACTTCCATTTGGACTTGCTTCTCCTGGGCTGACTGCGTAACCTGAACACTTGACTGTTCACTGTCTGAAGAGTAATCTAAAGATGATCTGCTTTCACTGTACTTTCTATGACAGGAAGACTTGTCTCTGCCTTTGACATATCTGTTACGAAGTGCTTTTTCAGAGCTGCTGCTGTGCCTTCTATTTGAGGTGTAACTTTTTTTCCCACTGGATCTAAATTTTCTCTTGGCTCGTCTTCCATCATCACTGCTAACAGAAGAGTACGAAGATGATCTACTACACCGTGAATGGTCACTGTATTTATTTCGTGAATGAGATCTAGATGAGGGAGATCTAGACCGTGAATGTGAACTAGCTGAACTTCGAGACCTTGTGTATGATCTGGAATAAGATCTAGAAGATCTGCTCCTTGACCTTGGTGAACTTTCTGAACTTCTATCACTGTATTTTGAATAAGCACTACGATCACTTTCTGAATTTTTTTCTCTTTTATGGTAGGACGATGAACTACCAGTCTCTTTAATATTTGCTAAACTATAAGTGCTTTGGATGGGCAGCAAATGGGTTGTTTTAGCTTTCATTTCCTGGATTCGCTCATAAGAGGGCTTCCAGGGCTTCTGCCCAGGCTTCCACCTTGAAGGAGGGGGGCTGTCACTCAGTGGTATAACAGGAATATTTTCTGCCACCACTGGTTGTACTACAACACTTTCATTTTGTGTCACTGTTGCTCTTAAAGGTTCTGTTTTAACAGGTTTATTTTCACTTAACTGAGAGGCTGTTCTTCTCGGTGATTTTGATGCTGTTCTTTGGTGCCCCGACTTAGAACTAGATCTGGACTTTGATCTACTTCGAGAATGTGATGAAGATTTTGAGGCAGTCCTTGATCTTGAGCTTCCTCTAGAATAAGACTGCGAGTGAGATTTTGATCTGTATGAGTCTCTGCTGGAATGGGTTGAAGAGCTCTGGTCATCCTTATCAGATTTAGACCAATCCCTCTTGGAAGAGTGATGAGATGATGACAAGGAAGTATGAGATCTCCTTTCTCTATCACATGAGGATTTCACTCGTCGGGTTGAAGATTTTAAGGATTCTATGTCAGACGGTACAATAATCCTTCTCTTCTTAGTCTGTTTGTGCCTTCTGCAATGTTTCTGCTTTTTAGCTTTCTTTTTATGTTTAACCTTTTTCTCTTTTCTGCGTTTTTTATGGTGACCATCAGAGTGTCTTGCTGTGCTCAGATCTGAATAATATCCATTATAGGACCATGATCGGGATCTCTGGGATAAGCTCCTTTCATCCCATCGGCTTGAACAGGGGTCACTTAACCTATAAAAAGGACATAATATGCAGGCAGTTATTTACAAGCATGTTTTCTATGCTTTAAAATTAAAATACATTTGTTGTCAATACTACGCATCAATAACAGCCTAGTTAACAACCAAGTACTAACTCTATCAATGCTTTAAGCACATGTAGGAAGGATAAAGCAAATAGTTGATAGGCTTGGTCCTAAAATTATAAAACTTCAAAGAAACAACTATTTAACAGATTCACTTACAAAAGGATTTTTCCAGAGTCAAATCAGGAATTTTCAAATTTGATAGGAAAATAGTTTTATAAAGCAAACCAACTAATTACAAAAGCACTGCTGACCTACAAAATTCCTGGCTTTGATCTGCTCAATAATGCTCTGCATCCGAGAATAATTTCTGAGGAAGTCAAATCAAATTCCCAAAAAATTTGCTGATTCTCTGTAGATACAGGGTAACTGCTGAAACTGTAAGAGAAGCCTCCTTTTTTTTTTTTGGCTGCATGGCTTGTGAGATCTTAGTTCCCCGACCAGGGATGGAACCTGGGACCTGGCAGTGAAAGCTCCAAGTCCTAATCACTTGATCACCAGGGAATTCCTGACAAGCCTCTTTTTCTTTCTTTTTTAAAAAAATAACCTTATTTATTTTTGGCTGTGATGGGTCTTCATTGTTGTGTATGCTTTCTCTAGTTGTGGTGAGTGGAGGCTACTCTCTAGTTGCGATGCGTGGGCTTCTCCTTGTGGTGGCTTTTCTTGCATAGGCTCTAGGGCACATGGGTTTAAGTAGTTGGGGCTCCCAGGCACAGACTCAACAGTTGTAGCACACACTCTTAGTTGCTCCAAGGCGTGTAAGATTTTCCCAGATCAGGGACTGAACCCGTATCTCCTACACTGGCAGGCAGATTCTCTACCACTGAGCTACCAGGGAGGCCTGCCTCTTCTTAAGAAACTAGCATGACTATTGTTTTATCTCAGGATCATAGAGGTAATCAGTGACTTTCTGTTAAGGTTTTAGTTAAACTACTTAGTACAGAAATTGGGGGAAAAGTAAACGAAAACTAAGATGCAGGCTTTACAATATCAGTGCTAACATCAGAGCTCAAAACTGTTCTCAGTGCTACCATATCTATACCGCTTGCACACAGCAGATCATACACCTTGTCCTCCCTCTTTTAATTCTGAACCATTCTGCTGGATGGCCACAGAGAAAGAGAATTCTACCAGGAACAACTACACAGGGCCCCAGTGGTATATTCTGCACTAGCTATTCTGGGGCCAGCCCCACTTCTAAAACAGATATTCCACTGTGGAGTGTCACTGAAGACAAGAGATGGTACACTGCTGAAAAAGCAACAGTCCCTAGGGTCAGAAGTTAATACACACACTGGCTACAAATTTTCTTATCTACCTATTAGTGACCACAAAAGAGAAAGGCTATGAAAGAATCTGCTATGCAATTTTTTTAAATAAAGTCCTGATTATTGCTAAAATTAAACAAGAAATCCTTAAGAAATTCAGTAGGGTAACAGTCTTGTGAGAGAAAATAGAATTTTGATTTACAAAGCCAGTCATCCCTCCCTCCATTTCATCAAGCATTCCCAAATGTATTCTCTGGTCACAATCTAATTTTAAATATAAATCTTTAGTGAAAAATCCAGAAGTATGTCTCTATCCCCTTAAGACTTAAAATATAGCAGAGATAGGACTACTTATACTTACTTATCTCCTTTACTCCATTTTTCTCCACTAGGTGGTCTATATGCTCTTAATCTCTGCATTTCTTCTTTCCAGTGAGGAGGAGTTTCACTGCTATCATCATCATCTGATTCAGAACAGGATCTTGATCTTGGAGGTGTGTGATAGCGCTTTAAAAACAAAGTTAGGAATAACAATTTAAAAAATACTTCCCAACTGTAATCTGTTATAGGACAGGTAAGTATAAGACTCAATCTTGGACACCGTTCAAATGCAATAATGACTGAAGTACCATAAGGATGGTATAAAGTTAAATCAAACTAAAAGAAATAGGAAAGGCAGATATTCACCTGTAATCACACATAAACTTTTCCTTAGAAGTCCTAATGGTTATACTCATTAGCTTATTCAACATACTAAGATTTCTGAACATACTATTTCACATTCATTTCAGTATTTAAACCCATTCAAACATAGCAGTAAACACTGATCTAACAGCGGTGCCTTCGAATAACTACATATTAATTAAGAGAATACAACTAGCTCCTTGGACAGACTTCGGACTATACCTAAGATTAAAGCTAGGATTTGCCTATAGGTAAAAACATTTTACTGCTCGGATAACTAATTTGAAAAAATTAAGTTTTAACACACATACAATTGTGCCCCTTCCTTTAATCTTCCGTCCAGACTTTGACACAGATGGTTTTTGGTCACTTACAATGGGTGTAACATCAGGAATTTTCCTGGAAAAGAAGATTACAAATTAAAAATAAGTAAATGCTAGGCAGTTTTCTCAGTGTGTAAACGCAGAATTCATGCTCCTTTAATACAAAAACAGTTCATTTAGATCTAACACTTTTATAGAATGAGGCACTCCACATGACCTAATTTTCTAAGCAAATCCTCTGTTATTTTTTAAATCTTTATCGGAGTACAGATGATTAACAATGTTTGCTATTTTCAGGTGTACAGCAAAGTGAATCAGTTATTTATATATACATATATCCACTCTTTTTTGAAATTCTTTTCCCAGATAGGCCACTACAGAGAACACTGAGTGGAGTTTCCTGTGCTATAAGTATGTTCTCATCAAACAAATCCTTTAAATGTTAATAGATACCATTAAAGGTATTATTAGTTCATTTAATTCTCATAACAATACTATGAAGTAGGTACTATTATCAACTCCTTTTTAAAAATAAAGACTTTTAAGATTACAGTTAAGAATGTTGTCCAACGTCACACAGAGAAATGAAACATGACTTTTGCAACCATGATATAACAGGGTTTTCCCAGCCAGGAATCTGGCTCCAGATAAACATACAATACCACTATAAGAAAACTTCAACTAAAAAGTATATTATAGTTTTTTTTGTCATTTCATATTCATGGTATCATTTGATTCTCACAATGAAAGAAGTAGGTACTTTTGGTAGACAACTGTTTACCTCATTTTCCTCATGAAGAACAAATTACTGAACCAAATGAACTGCCTCTAACTGTTCAGCATGAATTAATGTTCATCTGGGTATCTTTTAGATGCTGATCCTATGTTACCACTCTCCACCTCCTCCCTCACAACATTCCAATTTACTCTGCTGTATGGCCCATAAACTGGTATTTTTAAAAGCTTGCCAAACTGCACTTAAGTGCAGCTGAAGATGAGAACAAATGAATTAGAGCAAGTACAGAACCCAGCTTCTGCTAAACAAAGTGTAAGTGATAATGAGCTTAACTGCTGGCAAATTCAGTAAGATGGCAAGCTCTCTAAGGCTGACATTCCTTGTTTCCTATCCTTTCATACTGCATATCTTGCATTCGTAGCACATTAATTTTAGCTCCCAAGTGACTGATCAAATCTCAAGCATTCTAATGAAATAGATCAACTTGCTATCTTTGTTATGACACAACTACCTATCAATTATGATTTAAAATAATTCTGCAGGATATAACTTCCAAAGATATTATGTAACCAAAGAGGAGTGATGACCAAATAAACTTACCAAGGATATTCAACCATAAATACAAGACAGTGGTATAAAATACATTAAAAAAATACCAGAAACAGATCACCAGCCCAGGCTGGATGCATGAGACAAGTGCTCGGGCCTGGTGCACTGGGAAGACCCAGAGGAATCGGGTGGAGAGGGAGGTGGGAGGGGGGATCGGGATGGGGAATACATGTAAATCCATGGCTGATTCATGTCATTGTATGACAAAAAGCACTACAATATTGTAAAGTAATTAGCCTCCAACTAATAAAAATAAATGAAAAAAAAAAAAAAAAACAACACAGATAATAGGGGTCAGCAAACTTTTTCTTAAAAGTCCAAGAGAAAGTATTTTAGGATTTCTAGGCCAAGAAGAAAATTAAAGATGATTATGTAACAAAAAGAAAACAAGTTTTCACAAATGTTTTATCAATGAAATTTGAAATATAATACACCATGATGTGTAGTGCACTGAACAGCATATATAACAATGACAGCACCACATAAAAACTCTCTGCAGCTCCTCAATCCTGCTGCTACAGCATTAAAACAGCCCAAGAAAACAGTGAACAAATGGATGTGGCTGTGTTCCAGTAAAACTTTATGGATACCGAAATTTGAATTTCATATAATTTTCACATATCACAAAATATTATTATTCAATTTTTTTCCACAAACATTTAAAAACATAAAAATCACATTTAGCTCATGGGCTGCACAAAACCAGACAACAGCCTGAATTTAGCCCATGGAGGACTGTAGTTTACCAACCCCTACTAGATGACACTGAAATTGACCTTTCAAGTTTCCTACTTTCTGGCAACTAGATGGATTTGATCAATGAACGGTGTTTTGTATTTTAAGAAAAAAGAATCCCACTAAGATTTGTTCACAAGACAGAATTCTTAGAATTTTAAAATATCTAACGGTCTAAACAATAATCTTATATAGAGACTTAACTGTGAACAGGGACATATCTATAACTTCTCAGACTTCAAAATAACTCTTCAATTGCCAATTACACCAACCATTTTATGGTATTTCTAGTCATAAAACATTTCTCTTAACAATTCTAAACTTGAGTGTAACACACAAAATACATTAATTACTACTTTTTGAGACCAAATCTAAAGCTACCTTTTAGCTTTTCTAATATAGAGGAATTACCACTGAGTAAGTTAACAACAGTAAAATATGATACTAAATTATACCCCCAGTCACCATGCAATAATTTTGCACTACTAATTGGAGTATGTTTTAAAACCTGACTGGACCCAAAGAGTTCAACTAACCCTCTGTTCTGGTACCAAAATCTCACCTCTAATGAAAGGTTAAGTAAATGAAGTTAGTAATGAAATCTTCCCAGATCTCCACTAAGAACTCTCCCAGGTCAACTTGGCAAATTCCCTTTCTATATTAGTAGAATATGAATTTTGAAAGGTAGGGTCCATGGCACTCATGAATCCAGTATCTCCCACAGTATATTTCAAAGTGCTTTGACTACGGGTCACGCTCAATAAATGAGTGTGGACCTGCAATGAGCTGACAGGAATCATCAGTCAGAGAAACGAAAACATGTAGGTTAATCATCCTTACGGTTCAGGCTCCACTGTGACAAGAGGCATATCTCTTCTCAGTAAAAATCGGTTCTCGGGCACTGGAGGAATCTCTTCTGGGCGGACCACAGGCTTTTCCCTTTTAGCATTTGAATCAATAGATCTTTTTTCATTGGTATCACTCCTCTCAGAGTGACTTAGAAAGAACAAATCAAATCACCAATTAAAATGTGTATATCTAAATTTTTAATATTAAATAACAATATAATAACGTAATTAACAGCAAAACTACTGATACCTTGCAAATCCCACTAAAAAGGTTAAGAAAATTTTCATAAACATAACATATAAAACATGAGCGAGTGAAACAGTCACTGCACTAAAATTCTGATATAAGAATTGCCAAATGATCCTTTCTTTGAGAGTTTTAGGGATTGTTTTTATCTACAAATGCATAAATCTTTGATATAAAGCATCTGTGCTACCCTTAGATTTGCAAGATTTCAATATAAACTTCCTGAAATACTATCCTTTTCAACAACAGGTAACAAAGATAAGTTTACAGAATCACACATACTGTTCCCATTCCAGGGTGTTTGTTTTTTAGGTAAGACTACCCTGGTATCTCACACTTACCCTTTTGGGCTTATTATATGTTTACTCCTTGGCTCTTCTGAACTGCTTGCTTCCTTTCGCCTCTTTTTAGAGTGTTTAACTTTCGGTCTCCTCTTATGTTTCCTTCTTCTGCTTTTCTCATGTTCAATTTCACTTTCTGAAGATGATTCTGAAGAGGATGAGGAATTGGAAGAGGAATCCGAGACTTCTGAATGAGTTGGCTTCTTCCTTTTTTTCTCAAAAACTTTTAATAAATAGTAATAAAAGTATTAGTACTGGATTTCACTGCCCACCTTTCAGAGTAAAAAAAAAATGATTGACAAGTATGATAAAACATGTTTTATATAAAGCACACTAAACACTTAAACTTTTTTTTCACGTTGATAATACAATTTGCTGGTGAGACTGTAAGGTAACAAAGCCCTCATGAAGTCTATATATTAGTTCAGTCAGATAAGAAAATAAGTAACTACATAACATAACATGATAAATGCTTAAAGAGGAGGGAGGAAAACACAGAGTAGAGGGAATAAGGCAAGTAGAGGTAACTTAAGATAACATTTGAGCAGAGACCTGAAAGAAGCGAGGGACATGGGTCATGCAGATATCTGAACAAAGAGTATTCCAGATAGAAGGAACAGCTAGCACAAAGTCCCCAAGTGTCTGGCATGTCTGAGTAAAGATTAACACTGCTGGGAAGACAATGAATATGGAGAGATTAGAGAAACAGCAGAACGCCAGAATCCCTTACAGACCACTGTGAAGACTTAAGTTTGGTTGACAGAGAGGGAACCCTTGGAGAAGTTGGCTCTGGTTGCTGCTGAGGACTGTAGAGGGTCAAGTGTAAGCAAGAAGACCAGTGAGGAAGCTATCATTACTGAGAAAAGATTATACAGAAGCAATGACGGAGGCAAAGTGAACAATAGTGAGGCTATTGGAATAACCCAGGTAAAAGATATTTGGGTTTGGACCGAACTGACAACAGGTGAAGTAAAAAGAAAAGGTCAGAGCTGGAAAGACTCCTGATGGATTGGATACAGGGTATGATATGGAGGCATCAGGGCTATTGATATACTCCTCATGGGAGTTTCTTTCACTATTGAAATCTAAGAGATATCTTTAAGTTTTAGTTTTTAACAAGTGTTACCTGTATCCTAGCTCCCTCTGCTCTCAAAAAACACTCTTACCGTCTTTTGTTGACTTTGTGGCAAGCACCCCGCAGTCAATAACTCGTACATCTGCATAAGGTCTACTTGCAGCATCAGTTTTCAGATTTTCAATTTGTTCGATTACTTCAAAACCAGAAATAACTAGTCCAAAGACAACATGCACCCTGTCAAAATACAAATTCAAGAAAAACTGGTTTGATGATAGTTAAGCCAAGAGCAGTAATCAAGACAACTGTTGTAAATGATATGTTCACAGACCTGAAAATAAAAGTGTCTGATGTATGAAGCAACTAGAAGGAAATTAGAAGTTCTGCTTCATGAAAGGAAAAAAAAAAACTGCTCAAACTGGGTCTTAGTTTTCTGCTTTTAAAACAATGATTCTTAACTATTTTACAGTAGAGTATAACAATCAGATTGCACTTGATACTGGGACATCATCCGAGAGCCCTTTAGTGACACGTGATCTCAAGACTACTGCATCCTGTGATACTTAGGGAGAGCTTGGCTATGAGAGAATAACCCAGAGATCAAGAGTGCCCCCTTGAGGGTTCACCACGGTCTAATTGGTTGGATTGGCCACCAGCACACCTCCCCAAAATAATAAGAATGTAACTCTTACCCATCCAGGTGTGGAGCAGGTTTTGTGGTACTGTGCAACAAACACCAACACAAAGATGGCAGAAACCAGGTGTTCAGATGTACAGAGCAGAAGGGTTTAAAAGCACAGCATGTAGAGAACAAAGAGGTAAAGATAAAAAGGGGAAAGAGTTAAACATGACACACACCTAAACTTAATAAGCTTAAAAACAGCAATAGTAGTCATTTTACTGATTAAAAATACCCTCAAGATGACAATGTATTACAAACTTTTATCTCTCCAATATGAAGACTATATATACACACATATATGTGAAATAGGTTTGAAATATACAGCATAAATATACATTAAAGTTACTCTCAAATTTGAAACAATGACAATAACAAAAACAAATACAAACTCAAAACTTATCAAGATAATTAAACAAGAATAAAAAACATCTAGCCATTTGCTTGTGGAAAGAAAAGTGTGATCAACACTTAACAAGCGCCCCACACACTTAATTGAGTTTTTCTCCTAGTTATTTTTCATACCGAGTTAGTCTGCATCTTTTAGGCAGGTAGTTGGAGGTAGGCCTCAGGAGTCGTTTTTAGAATTTCCTGCCCCTCTTGCTTCACTTAAGCTGCCACTCAAAACAACTCAGAAAAACGCAATAGGGAGCAAATTTTCTATCTGCCAACACTTCTGACCACAAAGTAAGTAATCGTGGATAACATTACAAATACTTTACATTTCCATGGCCCAAAAAACATCCAACTGGTTGCTTTACAGTCACAAACTGGCAGATGGCCACTCTTGGGAAGCCTATGGGGTATATTATGGTTAAGATATTTTGAACCCAAGCTGGTTTTCCCATAGCATTTTCACAGATCTTCAGCCTATGTGAATTACAGTGGAAAAAAATTCAAAAGTAGATAACTAGACTCTATCACAAACATCTTAGTTTATGAGAAAGAGAAATAGTATTTGAGAGAATGGTCACTGGATTATCAGACCATGTTAAAGCAGTCAATTGTACTAGAAGCTCTTATGTCAATTATTATAATCATTTTAAGGAAATTCTAAGAAATATAATTCAATAAAACATAATTTTAGCCTTCAATACTAAAAAATATTATTCCATCAGGAAATATAACACATATATTTACATTAAGAATTTGTAGTTCTGTAACATTACTACAGTTTAGCTTTAAAATTAAAATATCAACTCAAGAAGTGGCAGAATTTTAAAGGGAATCTTGAGTTTTAAAACCACCAGTCTCAAATTTTCCCTAGAAGATTGACAAGTGGTAGTTTAAGCCAATGTAACCATAAAAATGAATAAACAGAAGAAAGAAGAAAAAGAAAATGTAGCAAACGGTGAGGCACTGATGCTTAAATCGTGAAAGGAGCATCCAAAAACTATCCTGACAGTAACTAACTTTAATACAGAAAGGTGCTTCCCATGATTATGCAACTTTACTAAGCACAGTGAAGACAGTAAAAATTAGGACATATGCTAGACAGTGATTCCACTGTATGAAAGATGGAAAGAGGTAAAAATTTTAAAGGTAAAAAATGTTCTATAATGTAAAGGATCAGTCTCAAACATGTAGCAGTGAAAACAATGAGGTATTAGATATATTTCCCTTCCTTGAGTCTTTCTCTCACAACTCTCAGATATTCTGGTATTGAGGAAAAGTCTACACATTTTCTTAAAACATACAGAATCCAATTCAGTTTGTACCCTGGTTAATAGAAGTGCTGTAAAAACCATCTTAGGGCAAATCTTTGGAACAAATGGTGTGATTAAAAATTTGAACTTACTGCAGTGATGCAGCAACATACTTCTTGAAACTCAATTTGAGAATAGAACCTTTATGACAGATTCAAGTTTTGTTTTTAATTCAAGTGAGAACTGAACACAAACTCAATCCTTTAATGCACTAGTAAAGAGAACAAATGAAGACAAGAGCAATGTTTTCAAGGATAAATTTCAACTGGCCCAATATGCCTAAACAGGTGTGAATAACTAAGTCTATTACTTGCATCTGCAATTCAGGATGCAGAAATACAAACTTATGATTTAATTGGGTTAGGCTATATAATAAGAATACTGGAAGTAGCTTAACAAAAAGAGGCCCTCTGGAGTTCTCAGCCCACATTCTAAGAGCAGAAATTCCAAGGTAAAGCAGGCTTACTGGAATTGGGCTGATGGGCAAGGGAAAAAATGATATGCAATGATATGCTTGGTCCAAGCCCTTCAATTCTACTAAAATAGACAAAGAGACCTCACCCCACCAACTCTTCATTGATGTTTCAAAATTTTAGAGCTGTAAGGACCAATGTAGTGATAACATATGCCCAGTAAGTTAAGACCTTAAAGCCAGGGGCTATCATAAATATGTAAGTTTATACATGCTTATGAAAACACACCTAAAGGAGAAATAACCACAAGAACATTTCAAGTTAGAAAAGCTTACAATATTTTCACATTTCCATTTTCTACTATCACTCAGATACTGATTTTCCAGTTTCCCTCACCTTTGAATCTGCTTTAAAAATACATGCACAAGGTTCATCTAAACCTCATAAATCCTAGAAAAAGAAAAGTATGACTGATACTCCAAAAAAATAATCTACTTTTTTTTTTACCATTATCAAAGCAGATTTTGGCCTTATACAGTAAGTAACAGTTCTGTACTGAAATGAGATATAAACCATTATATACGATATACCTCACTCCCCAAGATGTGTGGGAACTTGGTGGTAACAGTCCACTGAAATTAAAATTATACTTCCCAGGATTTACTATGAACAATAAAATACACTTATTTTACATGTACTGCTGCCACAGATCAAGCAGAAAGTTTTTTTCTTAAAATGGTTCAATGCATATAACAATAGGATTAAAGAGATAAATAAAGGTAAAGAAAGAAAAAGAGAGAGCCTTAGAGTAATGAGACATTACCTTTGGAGCGCACGGTGTAACACTCTTTCTGTAAATTTTACACAAAAATGGCAAGAAATAAATTGTAATACACTTTTAAGACAAGACTGAATCTATGTTTTAATATCAATATAACTTTGAAATTAAATACTTTCAAGTTTTATGCAAAGCAAGAAAGCTTTTTAAAAAGGAGGGCTCTAAATTTTCTTTCACATAGGATATGTATGTAGAGAAGGATTATGCTTTAAGAGAAGCATTGTGGTTGAAGTGGGAATCTGCTCAGGTCCCTAATATTTGTAACATCGGAGTGTGAATAATAGTTAGAAACAAAACATTATATTTCATTTTACAAATCCTAGAAACTGGCTAAGTCAACTAACATCTTTTTCAAAAAGATAATAATGTATCTGGAGTACATATATAAATATAAAAATCTGAATGCCCAGGAGCAGTCATTAGAGGTACAAAACAAAAATCTCAATGGAAAGAACTGAGTTAAGAGATTTCAAAACAAAATTCCAGAGAATATTTTTTACTAATTCACTTCAAATAATTAAGGATCTTTCATGTTTCTACATTTGAAACCTTTTTTGGTTACACACCACATCAGACTACTATACGTTATGAGTTAATGAGCAAATGTTTAGGTTGTAGTTTCTGTTCACTGCCATTACACACACTCTTTTAGTTAAGTCACTGAAAATAATAATAATAATGATAAGGCAGCATACGTAGAATTTTAAGAATCTTCTCAAAGGACAAAAAGGCAAGAGAAATGAAAATATAAGAAAATGTAAAAAAAAAAAAAAAAAAGAAAATGTATGCTGTCAAATCTTGGTTGGCTACAGTACTTTATTTTCCTCTCAAATGTCTGATTTTCCCCATTATAAAAATTTTTTGTTCAATGAATATACACTGTCTGATCAATTTTAACTCAATTAAAATTTAAACATATCTATTACTATTCAGACCAAAACCCATATTATATACAGTGGACAAAATTCTTTACAAGGGTTTCAGACATACTAAATCTTAAAATATTTAAAAATGTTAAAAGGCATTGATACATGAATGACTGTCAAAAAAGAATATGTTTCAAATAATGTGGTGTTTCCAGTGAATGTTATGGAAAAAAAGTGACTCTATTTGTAAAGTAGTATGAGAGAAGGAAATAAAGACTATTTGTCATAACCTTTAACACGCAATTTTCCCCTCAACTCCTGAAACTGTCATGCCTGTAAGAGGCAACACACTGTACAAAGTGACAAAGCTCATGTAAGGGCAATGGAAACTAACCAAGCCATGTTACAGTGCTCTACCTATCATTCCAGAAGTCACTAAAATAGAACAGCTTTAAAAAATTCAGCACTAAAATTAACATAATACACACCAAACACCACAAGATACAGAATTGCGTTCATGCTGCTAACACAAATGTCACACAAACACTAAGTAATATTCAGACTGGATGTCAGGGATGACATTTGATATCCAGAGAATATGGATTATGGTTAAGTGTCATGAAATCTGTTCATGAAAAATCTTTAACATATGAAGGTACTGTTCCTAAAAAAATAAGGAAAAAAAGCCAGAACTTCTCAGGTTATTAATACTTAGCATTTCTTCTCAAACTCATGAATATGTGGAAAGAAAAAGCATTTCTACCTCCAAATATCAATACAGCTTTGTAAAGCCCTGAAACCAAACCACCCCTCAACTCCTCTTGCTCTGCTACTCTAAAACAATCAGCACTTCTCTCATCCAGGTGAGTAGCTATTCTAAATGACACAGAAGATATCCTAAAACTTATGTTTTCCTCCCACAGTCCTATTTATAACAAGATGTAACAAACAAGATGAACTTTTGTTTAAAATTCAAAGTCTGACTTTTTGACTATCCTATTTTCTTAAATTTTTATAATTATCATGACAACTAACAGTGGCAAATGACAAAGCCTGTTCTCGAAGGTTCTGTAGGTATTCCCACTCCCTGGTGTGATATGAGGCCTTCATAGACTAAGCCAAGGGGGATAAGCATGATCATTACTCCAATATGCTCTACCAGCAGCCAGTGAAGAAACTGGCTGACTTTGGTAAGATGAACCATAGCTGGTTTGAACCACCTTTCAGACTGATGAAAATTAAGCAATTACAACTATTTCTTTTAGGCAAGACAATATTTGCATATAAATCACTTAATATACTCAAAAATTTAGGATCAACCTATAAGAACACTTTATTCCTTTAATGTCTGCATTTTCACACCAAAATGCATTATTTATATTTGAAAGTGAGCTACATAGTTTACAAACAGAAAAGGAAAAACAAAACTAACTCAAGGCATATGGTAAGACTAGATACAAGGTTTCCTGATAGGTTAGTGCTCTAACCCAGGAGAATAGCTATTTAATACAAAGTTATAAAGTACCTAACTAATCTCTTTAATCTATGTTATGCAGTATCTTCTTCATCTTTCTGATGAATGAAAGACAATGAAAATCAGAGCCAGACTTAATAGTTATTACTGATAGCTAAAGGACAAGAAAAATGCTTTCTTGTGTGTCATATTATTTTTCCAGCAACATTTGATGCATCCAAAACTGACTAAAATTAAAATAAATTCAAGGGAATTCCCTGATGGTCCCGAAGTTAGGACTCTGCTTTTACTGCTGAGGTTCAATCCCTGGAACTCAACAAGTCTCTCAACAAGTATCTCACAAGTCTATAAATAAATAAATAAACTCAGAGCAGACTGGTAAATAAACCTATGTAGCATACAGTGTTCAGCATGCTCTTTTTAGCTATCAATTTCTTCAAGATTATGAGAAAAATCCCTATAACCTATACTGCATATGTCTTTTCTTCCTTATTTAACATTATCTATAGAACAGAAAGACTGGACTAGAGGATCTCTAAATTCTTTTCTAGTCCTAGACTTTATAATCCTGTAACTTTTATTGTAGCCTCTTCCTAGTCTTTGGCCTAAAAAATAAATAATAATAAAATGAACCCCGTTAACATGGTCCCACAGGTCTTTGAATTCCTTCAAAAATACCTCAGCATGAACAAACTATTACTTCCTCAGTGATTCATGGGGATAGTGCCATTGATTACTTCTTTCATGTTTCTTGAACAGTACTATTCCAAAAACAATTAGTTTTCTTCTATTTAGGTCCCTAAAAGCAAAATCACTATAACTAATATAGTAGTAAACATAAGCAGTTATTGGAAAAATTATAAATAGCTTTATACAAAAGACAATCTGGTTTTTATCATACACATAATTTTTCCACCCAAAGAAAGCAACATATAAAAAAACATTTTAATAAAATGATGTATATGCCTTAGGAAGGAGAGGTCTTAAGTGTTTCAAGTAATGAAGACAATAGTTGTTACAAAAAGCACAAGAATTCTTGAGGAACATTTTGCTCAAGTACCCACACTAACTGCACCAAATTTACTCCTTGGAATTACAAGGTAACAGATTTATAACATGAACTACAAATACAATTTTGCAAGGATTTATTAAAAGTCCTTATTAAGCAAACTATAATGGCAGTTCTTGGCATTTTATGATCCATTCTCACACTACCGTTTCTTTTTCAGACTGCAGAACTGCTGCTCAAGGTGCCAAAGAAGAAGTGTGGGAGGAGGATAAAATGTAGGAGTCACCCCTGGGAAGCTATCTGACAGCTCAATGACCATCAACCCTTGGAACCTCAACTTTCAGAGCAATTGCCTGTGATCATCTACATAACTTGAAGATTGTACATTATGCTTTTTCTTAACTACTTCCAATTCCAAATAGATCTGGGCTTGCAAGATATAGATTTTCAAAGATACTTCTTTCATGGGCCACCGTCTCCATTTTACTTATTCTTTATATAAAAGCAAGGAAACATTTTATTTAGAAAAGTGAAAGTTAGTTTTATCTTATCCTGAACCCCCTGAGGAATTGGTACTTTTAGCCCATATTAAAAAAAGCACGTGCATAAAAGCTTCTTTAGAAAAAAAAAGTATTTTGTGACTGCAAAAATGTTTAATTACTTCCAAGATTGTTTTTAACTGAAAACTCATTTCCAAAAGTAAATTTCAAACTAAAAGTAGGAAAGTTTCTTTCAATCACAAGTTTACAGTGATCTTAGTGCCATCCATAAGCAGTTAATTATAAAAACAAGGTTAAAACTAAATCCTAATTTATAAATGTTAAAATTTTCATTTGGCATTCCTTGTCAAAACATAGTCCAATGTAAAATTAAGTCATGTAGAAAATAGACATGGCTTTAATTTTGGTTGATGCTAAACATTTCTAGAAAAGACTTAAGCAAATACTAAGTAACCAAAAAACAAGATACTCTAAATTTTTTAAAGTGAGACTCTCATATTCTGAATTTTAATCAATGCATATACATGCATGGGTTTTATCTCTTAACATTTTATAAATAAGCTAATAAGGATGTAACAATGGGAAGAAGCTACTGCTACCCGATAAATCAAAATTTAAAAGTAGTGATATAAAAAAGGGAATCTAAAAGAAACTTTAGAGCCCTCAGATGGTAGCTTTTTGACCAATGAATCATTAGTTTATCATGTTCACAGTTCAGATAAGCTTAAAAATGGAAATGGGAAACCTTAATCAAAGAGTAAACAGCTCCTACATTAAGTTTTTCAAATATTTCCCATTATTTTTTTGGCTCTCAAGGAGATTAACAATAGAAAAATATTCTAGTTAAGAGTAGTAACTAATACTCTATGGGATCAAAAAAGATAGAGGAATAACTGTTTTAGGCCTTCTTTTTTTCCTGTACAACTCCAAGCATTATTATCTTCTGTCAGCTTTCCATTTTTAGGACATTCTTGGGAACAGAATGCCCCTTATCTGAACTTTATCAGATCATGTTGGAATTTATTTTTCACACAAACATAAAGTGTGAGATTTACTTTATATGAATACTTTACTCCTTCAAAGACAGGGAAGCGCCATTCATACCCATCCATTCAGAAAGATGACAAAATTTTTTTCTGGTATGGAAAAAATATCTCTCCAATATACACAGCATAACTGCAGAGATTTACTTTCAATCAAAAGCATTAAACCCCATACTAGGCAATTACCTTTCATATCTTATATCATGTAGTTATAATAAAAATAGGTTTTGGAATAACTTTACATAAGAACACAACAGAGAGTATGCCAAAAGTCTTTCAGATGAGCGATAACTAAGGTTTTGGTTGTGTATACACGTACATGTAAAAGTGTTTGTTTTTTAAAAAACAAATCTATCATTCTAAAGTTTTCTAAGTGATAACAGCACAAATTTTTGGTGAAAATGAAAGCAATATTGGGTTAATTCAATTATGCATAGAGATCTCACAAAGTTTAAGACTGCTACAAATGTTGGCTTAACACCAAATCATTTATCTCTATACAGTGTCAGAAAATAATGGCACCTCTCTCAAACTGGCTCAAACAACAACAGTAAGAGGGAAAAGCAATCACACTATGATTTACTCAAACCAACTGCTTTCCATGCCAAGGATACATTCAGTTTCAGTCATGAAAAACTTTTTAAATGCTCATCAAGAGTTTATATTCCAATTCAGATTTGATAAACTGAGTCCCCAAATTTGCTGAGCCAAAGCCTATTTCTTAAGATGACAACAGAATAATTTACATCTTCAAGTTATGCCTTTTTAAGTACCATCCTTCAAATCCAGGATATATTCTTTACACTGAGATGGTTGTTAAAAGCTTACCAGTTACTATAACATAATAAAACTCAAGCTGACAGAACCTAGCAGTAAATTTGGATCAAGGATACCATCTTTCTCATGAACAGCGCTTCTCTGTTTAGGAAAAGCTCATCTCTGAATTATGCCTACTCACATGAAAAACTGGGAACCATTGGTATGTTTCCCTCGATTTGCCATTGACAAAAGGAACGCTCTGTCATGTTTGAGAATAAAGTTTTCATCTGTTTGAAGAAAACACAAATTTGTCAGTCTCCAATTATAAGCCACTTTTAACGTGTAATGTTCAAAGTAGTAAATAGAAAGCAAAGGATGAAATTCCTCTTCTGGTCAGTACAGATACTTGACTATTTCGAAGTTCTTTTAACTAATCAAATAACAAAAACATAAAAAAAGAAAAAAAAAAAACCCAGATACGACTTATTTACTACTTAGCCTTGAGAAAAAGAACATATATTTAATACTTTATACAAACAGCCTTAGAACAGTCACTTTTAGTAGCAACAGACTTTGGCTAAATGATATTTAAACTATTAACTTTCAGGGAAAACTACCAAGAAAATAAAAAAAAAATCTTTATAGTAGAGCTCATTTCTTCCAAATTTCCAATCACCCTGCATAATGCACCATTCATGGGAGCTTTAATAATCCTCTTATGTGCTTAATTTCTATATGGTAAATTTATTACTCAATCAAATTGTTGCTAGATGATGAAACCAACCCTAACCAAAATATTACAGTAAGTTTAGAGACATGCCTAAATTAAATCAAGTATGTAGATTCTAACCAAGAGGATCAAAAACTATCTAAGGAAGAAAGCCCTGTAAATACAAAAATTTAAATGGTAAGATTCAATTTTAAGATATACATACAAGTATCTGCCACAGGCAACAACCACCTTAAAGTGGCCTACAGTATTAATTTCAAATTGCTACATGCTAATGGAATCAGCTAAAGAGCTGTTCACTACTAGTTCAAAGGAAATCCTCTGTCATAAAGATCACTTAGAAATGGATTTAATTCCAGCAGAAATATCCTGAAAACTAATGTAAGTTTCCTTTTAACATTCATACAAACAAATCTTTCTTTTAAACAAACAGAAACACAGAAAACTTAAAAAACAAAAACAAAAAAAAGATTACCTTGGGAACAGGCTTCTGAAAAAGAGTAGTAATCCATTTTTCCCCAAAAGAAATATAAAAGACTATTATAACACTGAAGCTATCATGGCATTAAAACCTAGTAATACTGGATCCCATTATAAATTTCTGCAACTGACTTTTCTAAGGCTTTTTGGGGCAAGTGTAATAGTTAGATTTATGCAAATACTACTGTAGGAATAAAATACAATCAGTTCTAGTATACAAAAGAAAACATACAAACCTTTGAGAAAGGAAGAGATACCAACTTTTATTCAAAGACACTGTTTGGCTTAGAGGGGAAAAGAAAAAAAACAAAAACAAAAAAAACTAGACTCTTTACCCTGATGTGGAAATAATAACCCATTGGAAAAAGAAAAAAAGATACAGATGCATGTATGAAATAGTATACAGAGTTTTCCAAGTCTTCAAGCAATATAAGAAATCCAGTCACAACCTGACCCAGACACTCCATAAATTTATTAGGAAGGGTGCAAGGGAAAAGAGTTGGAGTTTGTGTTACTGAGCTTCGTTCTCTTACCTTTTCATTTTGCAAAAGACCACATTCTCTATAAACAAAAGAATATGTTGACAGTTTTAGGCAGGAAGATAGGAGTTTTCATGTATATAGTTGCCTAACCTCCATGCTGAAAGTCATGTTTAACCATAAAGTTAGCCTTAATTAATCTTGTCAATTAAAAGTTATATATTACAATATAATTTATCCCCAAGTTCATGCAAATAAAGTATTTTCATGCAGCATTAGTTTCATGCAAAAAGTGAACTATAAGTAAACCTCTTCTCATTAAAAGTACATGATCAACTTGCTTTATATCAGAGATGAAATAGAAGGCCATAAAATATTAAGCCTTACCTTTAAAATAACCACCATAAATTGATTCTCCACCTTTTCCATTACCTGAAAATAATGAGCTATGTTAAACAATAATGAAAACTAAAAAAATATACTCATATACATAAATTACTCTTTACGGTTTTGATTTGCTGAAGGAGTTAACACCTTGTAACTGCTGCAGATGACAGAAATTCTAATAATCCTCAATCAACCTCATTTTTAAACTATAAATCCAATTCCATTATAATAAAAAATTATCCCCACAACCCATTTATTTCAAACACTGACAAAGCTCTAAAAGAATACAACTAATTGAATAATACTTTGGCATTCACTAGAGGGTATTCACTAAATAACTGTATTAAAACTGCATAAAAACAAAACAAAAAACCTCTTAGTATTTTGCTTTTTATACATTCTTGGCTTACAACATTCATTCATCCAACAACTATTCACTGACCATCTAATATTTACATCACACTGTGACACAATATTTACAATTAAAATAATGAGGTGCTTTAGGAATTAATACAGTTATTAACAGCATAACTTTTAGCTCTACCTTCACTGAAGTCCCCACCCTGAATCATAAAGTTTTTAACCACACGATGGAATGTAGAACCTTTATAACATAACTTCTTCCCAGTTGTTTTCCCAAAGCCTTTCTCTCCTGGAAAAAAAAGAGAAATGAAGTTTAGCTACAAACATATCCTTCCAAGGGAAGGACCATCCAGTCAGCCCTTTGTCAAACTCCTCCCTTGTGTAGGGCACTCTAAGAGGTAAGCAACATTATAAGTGTCTTTCCTCCCCATTTTATCTGTTTAAAAATATAAACCAAATTACATGTAACAACAACATCCTTATGTTCTGCTTCTCTATTCTCTAATCGTAAATTTATTGTGAGATCTGGAAGGCTAAGTTTGTTCAAAGTACTAAAATCTGTAAAATTATATCAAAATAAATCAGTTTTGAATATATACACTATTATTTTTTAAACTACAATGAATAAAGATTCCATTACATATAGTAGTACTTCCTTTTTCATTTTTGAGACCATTTCTTTCTCCTCTCTTCCCTTTAAGAAATGCTTCCCTGACTTCTTATCAGTGAAAATAATATTTTTTATTTTTCATTTCACAATCCATTACTTTTTAAGGAAATAGCTATTCTGTTAAGCAAGGTAAAATTTTAAGCCAGAATTTCTCATTGGAAATAATCTAATAGTTCATTTACCTGAGCATAGGCAAAGGAAGTTTTTGCATGTTTTTGGACATATATCTGAAAAGAGCTGAAACATAATTCGACCAACTGAAATAAAACACATGAAAAAACAGGTAAGCAAGTTGATTAAATGTATCATATTTATATGGGAGAAATAAAGAAACAAATTGAGAGGCCCATTTTTATCATTCATTTTAATTTTTTAAGAGATTCAACAGGAAAAGAATTTAACTAGGCAATACCAATTAATAAGAACCATACTATATTTATTAGCATTATGATTCACATGCAACCAAAGTGACTTCCGTCCAGAACTATGGGATTTTAAGTGTCTTTTAACAGGACCTTATTTTATTAGATCTCTCTTAGTATATCTCCTACCTGAACTACTAATCTTTAAATATACTCTCGATAACAGTCGTCTGATTTATGCCTAAATCCCTCCAGTGATGACAGCACATCATAAGATGGTCACTCGGGCTAGTGCCAGTAGAAGAAAGTTCTGTCCTCTACTTTCAGCTTTTTACCTTTATGCAAGAACTGTTCACAGCCAAGCCCTGAACTGGCACTCAAAACTAAAACTCACATTAAATTCCCTGAGAGAGCAGAAAGAGAAGAGGTCATGGTTCCGAAAAAACTAATCAACAAACAAACAAGAAACAATAGCAGCCAAGTCTGCAAATTCGACTTAATTATGCAATAAACAATCTGCCTACCAATGCAGGAAACTCGGGTTCGATCTCTGGGTCAGGGAAGATCCCCTGTAGGAGGAAATGGCAACCCACTCCAGTATTCTTGCCCGGAGAATCCCATGGACAGAGGAGCCTGACAGGCTACAGTCCATGGGGTTGCAAAGAGTCAGACGGAACTGAGCATGCCTCCCATGCCAATAGAGAAGTGTTTCACAAATCTGTTCATCTCAGGACTTCTTTAAACTCTTAAAAATGATTAAAGCTTTTAAAATGTGGGTTATATTTTTCATATTTACTGTATTATATATTAAAACTCAAAAATTTTCAAAACAAGAATACTCAGGTACCCATTCCATCAGCTGTCAGAGCAGTGACATCATTACATATTCTGTAATGTTTGGAAAACAACTTGTGAATGAGAGTGCAAGGGGCAAATCATATTATTTTAAAAACTGTTTCGACTTTGCCCTCCCGTCAATAAAATAAGAAAGGGAATTTTGAATTATAACCATTTTCCTGAGTCCCTTTTCCCTTTATTCTATAAAAGCTTTTCCATTATGAACATCTGCACATAGTCAAGACTTGTAGAATAAGTCAAAATTAACTGGATCAAGCATAACCCAGTACAGACACAAAATGCCTTGATTTATTATATCACTAAGATTTTACTTTATTCCTGGCCATGTCAGTTAGTTACTCTGAGGACAAAACAAGGTTACTGTGTAAGAAACAACCTTAAAGGATAAAAAAGTGGAAGAATGGAATCATATAAGAAAACTCTCCCATGTCAGCACTGCCAAATCGAGTGCTTGAATCAAATTTAATGCAATTTCAAAACCTTCTAGCTGATCTTGATGTCTAAAGAAATGAAGAAAAAGTTAAAAAAGCAAAAAGGAAGATAGCAATGTATCTAAAAACATTTCAGAATTTTAGGAAATGCATCTAATATCAGTAATAGTAACTACTAGTCTTTGTATTTACATAAAAATATTTACAAGTGTAACAAGAGTATTTCCATCACTCATAAATCCCTAAGAAATGGCTGGCTAGGTGGGTGTCAAATTCAAAACCATCTAGCTTTGCAAACTACATACATAGGTCTTTGGAATCTCTTTAAGATAGATGCTTTTCAGAATAAAAGATACAATCAAAACAACTGAAACGTCACCTTTTCTCTAGGACTATAGTAATTTCAATAAAGAGTTTCCCCCCCCAAAGTCTTTAATGCCTCCAAATGAAAACTGATGAAAATTTCAAATATTTTTAGTTTCTCCTTTACAGGTAATTATGAACTCTCTAGTGGTACAATATATATGAAAACAGTTAAATGTAATTACTTACATTTCCAGGTCTAATATTCAGAGAGGGATAGCTAACTACCAAGAGTTTTTAAAAAATACTCACCTCTAATACCCTACTCTCTAACCTGATGAAGAAACAAAATTTCTATTGACCTTTCACACTCATGGGGCAAAGGTTAGAGCAGAAATTCTGTCTCTGCCATGGCACTGTGTTGTTAAGAGCAAAAGAAAAAAACATGAACAAAACCAAATTGTTTTGGGCGCAATATTACAGTACAAGGTTTAAAACACTGCTAAAGACTCTAAAGTAAATGATGTACCCATCAGAACTGTTAAAAAAAAAAATTCTGAATCATACTGGACATCTAGTTCATCCACCATTGTCAGAATTTGCAACAACACTGACAGATGAATACCGACAAATGTAGACAAACAGCCGGAAGCACAGGGGTTCAAACAGGAGGAGGAGGGAAGAGACAAGGAACAGCCATCCTACGTTAAAGGCAGAAAAGGAGGAAGATCTTTATGTTTCACGTGGAGATTTGAGGCAGAGAAAAGGAAGGAAAAGGATAGTGCTAAGAAGCCAATTTTCTCCTCTCAAAGTCCCCATAAAAATCCATATGACAACTCTCAGAATGGGAGAAGACAATAGCAAATGAAACACGAAAGAAAGGATTAATTTCCAAAATCTACAAGCAGCTCATACAACTCAATACCAGAAAAACAAACAACTCAATCAAAAGGTGGGAAAAAGACTTAAACAGACATTTCTCCAAAGACGACATACAGATGGCTAACAAACACATGAAAAGATGCTCAACATCGCTCATTATTAGAGAAATGCAAATCAAAACTGCAATGAGATATCACCTCACACCTGTCAGAATGGCCATCATCAAAAAGCCCACAAACAATAAATGTTGGAGAGGGTATGGAGAAAAGGGAATGCTCTTGCACTGTTGGTGGGAATGTAAATTGATACAGCCACTAAGGAAGACAGTATGGAGATTCCTTAAAAAAATAGGAAAAAAAAAACCTACCATATGACCCAGCCCCACTCCTAGGCATATAACCTGAGGAAACCAAAATTGAAAAAGACATATGTATCCCATTGTTCATTGCAGCACTATTTACAATAGCTAAAACATGGAAGCAACCTAGATGTCGATTGACAGATGAATGGATAAAGAGGTTGTGGTACATATACACAATGGAATATTACTCAGCCATAAAAAGGAATGTGTTTGTCAGTTCTGATAAGGTGGATGAACCTAGAACCTATTATACAGAGTGAAGTGAGTCAGAAAGAGAAAGATAAACGTTGTATTCTAACACATATACATGGAATCTAGAAAAATGGTACTGAAGAATTTATTTAAAGGGCAGCAATGGAGAAACAGACAGAGAGAATAGACTTACTGACATGGGGAGAGGGGAGAAGAGGGTGAGATGTATGGAAAGAGTAACAAGGTAACTTACATTACCACATGTAAAATAGCCTACAGCAATTTGCTCTATGGCTCAGGGAACTCAAACAGGGGCTCTGTATCAATCTACAAGGGTGGGATGGGGCAGGAGATGGGAGGTTCAAGAGGGAGGGGATATATAGGGAGGGGATATATGTATACCTATGGCTGATTCATGTTGAGGTTTGACAGAAAACAACAAAATTCTGTAAATCAATTATCTTTAAATAAAAAAATAAATTTAATTAAAAAAAATCCATATGAATTTGCCTTCACGACCTTTCAACCAGGCCTGTGGTTATTACTGGGATCCTCTGGGCCCAATTTATAAAAAAATAAGGAGAAAAGGGGGTAAAGGAGAACCTTCTTGCTTACAGAAATGGTAACAAGCCTTTGCCTTAAAATTGAACATGAGCTCAGTGCTCAAGCTCACGTTCACGCAAATGCACTAATTAAAGCAACTTAAAAAACAAGTGTGTCACATGCTGTGCTAGGTTCTTTACAAATACAGGCAGCTCTGCAATAACATGAAAAAACTGAAACACTGCATTATCAAAAAATCACATATAAAGACAACTGTTTCCATGGGACAATGCGAGCTGGGGACAAGGGAATTTCAGGTTCTAGTAAAGATTTTCTATCTGAGAAGTATCAATGATAAAGGCATGCTTTTAGTTATAACAATATCTTATAAAATTTAAACATCACTGAGGAAATCCTACAACTTATCACACCTCACTCTGACCTTTCTCAGCACTGTCATTAGCATAACCCTCCTTGTGGTCTTTCAAGTAACTATTAGAGAATAACTCAAAATAGCAGGGCTGCTCACCATCCTTCTCTCCCACACACCAGTTCCCCTCCTTGCTATCTGTGTCACAACACAAACGGTAATCTGCCTAAGAAAAATTGTGCTCCTTAATTGATTAGAATAAATTAATTTTAAAAATATGATCTTTAAAACACGTGGTTATATTATTTAATTACTCTTTTCAAGAACCTTACCATGCAAGCAATACTGCACTGACGTCTTATTAGTTTACGAGTATATACAAAAGGGAGAAATCATTTAAATGGCGCAAACCACCGCATCCAGAGTCACTGAGTCACTGTATTCACAAGCTTATAACCCAGTGCATGCTTGAGATGGGAGATTCATTTCTCCCGGTCCCCCAGTACAAATCAGGTCTCATATGCCTTGCTCTACCTCAAAGTAGAAGTTATTTTGGGTATTAGTTTAAAGTTTGAAGGTTAATTTTGAATACAAGCAAATTTTGCTGTACTTTAGAAACACAATAACGACTTTATAGTACTTCCATTTACAAAGAGGTCAGAGGGCTTTCCCTTGGTCATAAGCAGTACTCAAACATTTGTCTTCTTTACTTTAAACTTGTTGCTCAGTTTCAGTTCCAAATGCTCTGTAGTGTTTACTAAGAACACATTTTTAGTTTCTTTGATTCATGGGAACCTTGAGCAGTAAATTTAAAACATCCATTTCAATGATATTTCCATTTTACCTATTTTGATAATTGCCAGGGTTTTATGACATTGTTCTGAGGCCCACATAAACAAAATTCTAAAGTCAAGCATTCTTTTTTTTTTTTCAAGCACTCTTTTAAAGAAACACCTTGGTTATCATTTTAGAAAACCAACTTGAAGTCTCTGACAAATACAAAATAAGTAACATTCTATTCAAGAAGGGGGCTATATTTTTTAAAATGTCAATCTCATAAAAGACAAAAGCTATGAAAATGGAGGGTAAAGAGACATGAATGTAATGTCTGAGGCTAGACTGGAATTTTGTACTGGAGGGGAAAGAATGATATAAATGAATTTTTAGGCCAACCAACAAAAACAGAATACAGAGATAGTAGATTAAAGTATTGTATCCATATGAATTTATGAGGTTGACAATTGCATTGTGGTTATGTTGGAGAAAACCCCTTTATTTTCTTTGAAAATTTTTTTAAATGTTTAAGACTCTTTTAATGAATATTTCTATTCTTAATAAATACACGCACGTACTTAGGGGTAAAGAGCCATGATGTGGGTAACGTACCTTCAAATGATTCAGAAAAAACTGTGAGTTTAGAGAGAAAGAGATTAATAAAGCAAATGGCATAGGATGTAAATAGGTGAATCTAGGTAAAGAATAGATTGGCATTCTTTTTACTGCTTTTACTTTTCAACGTTCTATAAACGTGAAATTACATTCAAACAAAAAGTTTAAAACAATGCAGATAAAACCCAATGCTTGAGTTCTATGAAAGCATGCGTCTATACCAGCAGTTCTCAAAACTTTTTGGTCTCAGAATCCCTCTACATGTTAAACAATTACTGAAGACTTTATAAAGACATTTTAATATGTTCTTTTGGCTATGCTAGGTCTTTGTTGCTACACAGGCTTTTCTTTAGTTGCAGCAAGAGGGGACTAGTCTCCAGTTGCAGTGCACGGGTTCCTCACTGAGGTGGCTTCTCTCCTCGAGGAGCACAGGCTCTAGGGCGCAGGGGGTTCAGGAGCTACAGTTTGTAGGCCGCTCTTAGAGCACAGGCTCAGTAGTTGTGGCCCACAGGCTTAGTTGTTCTGCGGCAGACGGGATCGTCCCAGACCAGGGATTGAACCCATGTCTCCTGCACTGGCAGGCAGTTTCTTTACTACTGAGCCACCAGGGAAGCCCATCATGAGTTCTTTTTTAATAATTTACATTTTGAAATATGAACAAAAAATGTTATGAGTGTTATCTTTTACATTTTTGCAAATCTCATTTCATGAGATTTCCTTATTTCACGTCTAGTGTAATAAAAGACAGATTTTCCTATCTACTTCCGCATTTAATCTGTTGTGTCATCACTGCCTTTGAAAAACTCTATTGAATACTAACAGAAATGGGAGTGAAAAAATTGGAGTTTGACTTCTGGTGTCATGATAGCATCTCCCAGTTTGAAAACAAAAAAAGGTCTGCACCATTGTATTACTATAATGTAATATATTACAACTATAATTTATTTTAAAATACCTTATATAGACATTCTCATATAAAGTAATCATATGAGTTTTAAAACTATACTTCAGGCCTCTAAGAAACACATAGCCTCCGGGGGGTGATAAATCAAAGGCTGTCCTCCAGAGGTGACTTCTAATACTGCTTTTGCTATCTTTATCTCTAATCAACTAGTAATTAGTAAAATGAATGCTTAAAATCTGTTTTTATTGGCAAACTGGTAATGTCTGGAACATAAAGACTGAATAAAAACATTTGGAGATAATCCATACCCTTCCATTAATAGGACATAAATCTGGAGTCACCCTTTGGAGTGCAACCTAAGGCTGGGTCCATCAAAAAAGTCCTGGGTCTAGTCAAGATTTAAGAGGATTTTGGTGCACAAAACTAAAAGATTCACATGACAATTTTCAAGATCAGAAATCTTCCACTTAAAGAGTACCTGGAACACTGAAAATGACTTCATCAGACTTACAGAACTGGTTTTATGACCTACATGTGTGTATACTTGCTTGTCAACATCTACATATAGCAAATGTGACTTGCTTTCACTGTGACCTGGCAGCTCGCTTTTAAGCAACTGGCTCATTTAATTTTAAGTTGTCAAACAACATCGTCCTTTAATTTAGTATCTGTGGGATCTGTAGTAATATCGATCTGTAGTAATATCACTTTTATTCCTCATGTTGATAATTTGTGCCTGTTGTCTTTTTTTCTGTGGCCAGTTGGGCTAGAAGTTTTATCAATTTTACTGTTATTTCAAAGAACCAGATTTTCTTTCTTTTTCCAGATTTTCATTTCATTGATGTTTTGTTTTCTTTTTTCAGAGGTTCTGTTTATTTTTTCTGACAGGCAGGCCCACCCTTCTTTGACTAAATATTAGTTCTCTCTATGGTTGTTAGTGGTTGGTTAAACTGATTACTTTTCAGGGCAGACATGAAATAGGAATCTAGCTTTTCCTTTTTTGGTGCTTCAGAAACTTATCTTTTACTTGCCTTTTTCAGATCTTGTATCAAGAAGTGAAATACTGGAGCCCAGGGGAACAGGTTTTAGATATCTGGTGCAAACTGATTTAAGCCAGTTTAGTCAAAAATGGCTATTAAGTTTTTAGAGCATATCAAGGAGTTACCAATTAGTTAATGTCTGTTGACTGCCTTTCAAACTACCAAAACTCAGTGAAAGAGAAGTAACAACATGAATAGTTCTGTAACTATACTCACATAATTTAAAGACATTCCTCTTTTAACATGTACTTGCATTCATTTGGTGGCTTTACAATTCAAAAGTCTCATTTGTTTGCTATAAAATATACAAACTTCCATTGATAGGAATGGAAAATACACACTGTGCTGTGTTCAGCTCAATTATTATGAGTACTTTTTGACCTCTCATTAATACAGACAACATAGCTACTCATTAAAGGATCTTTACTTATCAAAGTAAATAAAAGATATTACTCTGTATCAAGCAAATTATTAACTATAGGAGAAGACAAGAGTTATTACTTGAATAAGTACTCAATGACATACATACTAATGGTTAAATAATACAAAGCAGGACACCTCATTTCAAACAACCGAAGTGATCCTTACAAGTTGCATAAAAATCAAGTACTTACTCCTTAGATAATATACTTTAAAGTGTTAGAGAAATATCAATATTTTATATGAAACTGAACCATATGAAATTGCCAGTTATCAACTGGTTCAACCTAGAACAATCCAAGCATTCCTTGTTTTATATATGGTTCAGTGTTCTCAAGAGTTCTAGTCACTTCTACCAAAATGATATTATAATACTGGGGATCAAAGTTCATTTTACATTTACCAAACATATTCTGGAGATGTTTCACAACAAAAGTTATTTGTGAAAGTAGGATATGAATGTGTACAAGAAAAGGAGTAGTTTCCAGGGCTACAGAACCTTTATTTGACCTCTACTTTCCAGGACTATGCTATTTTTAACTCTTAAAAAAAATAATCCTTGTTATTCAAAACGAAAATTCACTATAGAATTAGGATTAAGAGCTTCAAGGTACAAAAGATGAAGAGAGAATGCAACAAAAATTTCTAAGATCACATCATTCCTTTGCTCAAAACATTTTATCTCACGGAGTCAAAGTTCTTACTCTGGCCTTTACTCATTTTCTGCTACTCACTTGCCTCCTTCACTCCTCAAACAAGAAGGTACACTTGCTCATCAAGTCAAGAAAGCGACACTTTCTGTTCCTCAAACAAGAAGGTACACTTTTTCGTCAAGGCCTTCATATTATCTGTTCCTCTATAGGAAGGTTCTTCTCAGAGATATGCACACCCTTACCTTCTCCTTCAGGTCTGCTTAAATGTCATCCTCTCAAAATGTCAATTTCTGACCAATCTATTAGAACAGCACCCCTATTACAAGACACTTATTTTTTTTCTGGTTTATTGTCTGTCTTCCTCCAACGGAATATAAACTACAAGGAAGAGAGGCCTTTGTTCTATGCGTTGCTATATCCTCAGTCTAGAACAGTAGCATGCACAATCTGCTGAACAAGATCTGCAAAAAGACTGTATATAGGCTTCCAATTAAAACTTCCGTCACAGTATTAAAAAGAAAAAAGGCTAAGAAAACTGGAACCTTGCACGCTCTGCTACGTAGAATGAAGTTAACTACGCTTGAGAAGAAAATATCTAATTTTCAAAACAATATACTAAGAAACGGCTGGATTCCCTAAAGAAAACAGTAGTGGAAGAGAACACACGCTGCAAGTCTGTTGATACTAAATGCTTTGGTTTATCGCCCAAGACTTGTGCTAAGTCATTACCCCACGAACCAAGGAATTCTGGCTAAAGACACTTAAGTAAAAATAAAAACAAAGTTAACCTATTAAGGATGCACAAGAATTAGAAAATATACAACGTACGAGTCCAAAGCTCATAGTACAGGGCGAGATACCAGAAACTGAAATTGGGAGTGTTTGTTCCTTAGAGATATTGTGAGAGACAAAGTCCAAAAAGGATCGCAACCCTTTTCCTGGCGCTAAGCCAAGGCAGGAACACTCAGGAGGGGTGCGGGGGGACAAGGAGTTTGGGAGGACGAGGCCTGGACTCCAATTAGATTGTATCCGGACCACCCTCCTCTCCACAGATTTTCCCTCAGGAGAAAAGGGAGTACGGACTGTGCCTACCAGTTCCCAAAAAGGCCTTGGGGGAGGGTTGATGAAGGTAGACCCCTCCCCTTCCCCAAGGCAAGCCTAGGCCCCGCAGGGCTCCCCAGCGGCCCGGCTCACCCGGCTCCCGGTTGATTTCGATGTCGAAGTGGCATTGCGGCCGGTCCTGCGCCCCCATAGCGACCGAGGCGGCAGCAAAAGCTGGGAGAGATGGGGAGGAAAGCGGTCAGGGCGGGGGCTAGGGCGGGGGGTGGGGCGGAGCCCGCGCCTCAGTCACCTCCCGCCGGCCTGTCGCGACAGCGCCGGAGGCCGAGACCGGCTCCCTCTCACCTCAGGCCTCCCGGCTCCCATGGAGTGCGCACACATATGCAGCCGCGCTCTTCACCTGGCTGGCCTCCAGCCTGAGACCTGCCAGTGAGCAGAAGAGAAAGCGCTGCCACCGTGGCCGGAGCCCAACGCCACTAACGGACCGCCACCCCCGCCCCCAGGCGGGTCTCCTATTGCCACGCTAAACCCCGCGAGAGCCCGGACAAATACCGCGAGAGCACGTACTCGAAGGCAGGGTTAACAGAAGCGGCTACGCCTACGTGAGAATGCCTGGGAGTTCGGGTCCCGAGTTTCTATACCTGAGCTGGTTCTTTTTTGCTCCGCCCCTTTCCTCCTTTACGTTGGAATCAGTCGCCAACTCTGGGAGCCCCCGACGCGCCTGCGCTACTTCCTGTCGTCCTTTTCAAGGGCCGTGTCAAAGTATTTGGAGATATCGCGAGGCTTCCCTGTTGTCCATAGCTGCAGAAGAGGTTGGAGAATCAAGTCGTTGAGGATCAGTAGACCGACAGTTTTGACTTTTTTACTCAGGGAGTAGTTTTGACGCTATCCTGTTAGACTATTTGTCTCACTTCAAAGGCCGTTTAGGTACAGTCGTACGTGCGTTTCCGCTTTGGGGGCCAGCGTCATGGGCATAGTGTTCAAGGCCCTCTTTTCTAAATTGTTCGAGACCTTTGCCCTTATTTTAATCATGTTCTTCGTCTTATAGAAAACAAGAATTCTGTGTTATTTAACGTGTTGTTAAATGATGTATGTATATATTCTGAATAAAAATCCCTTGCTAGGTTTATGTAATTGTGAATACTTTCTCCCAGTCTGTCTTGCCTTTTCATTGTTTTGATAGTGGCTTGTGGAAAGCAGTTTTTTAATTTTTTATGAAGTCATTTGATCTTTTCTTTTATGGTTTGTGTTTCTCTGTGTAAGAAATCTCTGCCTACCCCACGCTCATGAAGATTTTCTCCTGTGTTTCCTTTTAGAAATTTTATAACCCTGTCTTTTTGGTGTAAGTCTATGATCTGTCAGCATTTGTGGATATGGTGTCGGGCAGAAGCTGAAGTTCTTTTTTTTCTCGTAGGGATATACGGTAGTTCCACCACCATCTGTTGAAAAGACTGTCTTTTATACATTGAATTACCTTGGCTTTGTGACCACATATGTGCATTCTATTTCTGGGCTCAATTTGCTACATTGATTTATCTTTACCATGGGGCCACACTGTTGGGTGGTTGTTGTTTTCCGTCATTTTCTTAAAATTGTAATATATACTTTAACTTTACATAAACTAGTCTTTTAACTTTTTTTAAGCTTACTGTTCAGAGGCACCAAGTAGATTCCCATTGTGCCACCATCACTACCATCTAGCCAGAGGACAATCTTCATCTTGTAAAACTAAAATTTTGTGCCAATTAAACAATGACTTCTCCTCCCCTCTACCCAGGATCTGGCAAGCACTCTTTTCTACTTTATTGTGGTAAAAACACTTAACGTGAGATCTACCCTCTTGACAGAATTTTAAGTGTTCAAGCTGTCTAATAATGTGAGTAGGGGCCAGCTGCCATCACACTCCAGCTGACGGTTTTCACTGTGGACCTGTTAATCCAGCATTGCTAGAAATCCAGGCTTTCATGGGAAATCCTCTTATCTTTAAATGTTAGTAACTAATTCAAAACTAAAGACATTGCACAGCACTTACCATATTTGCTGATCAGATCAGGCCCTTCAGCAGCCTACCTGGCATAGAGTATCAGCACAAACCACATGAATAGTAGAGGACAGAGAAGACCAATGATGGGATAGAACCCTACAGATGACAGAATGGGAGGGGGCCTCTGAAAAGGGCCAGAGCCTTCAGTTAACACACTTGAATGTTTACCATGCCCAGCTCCCAACCACAGAATCTCCACCTCATAACCTCAAGAGGCAGATACTACTTTCGTTATTTCCATTTTAGAGCTGAGGAAACAGTTTACAGAGATTATGACAGATTTGGGATTCAAAATGAGGTCTCTCTTCACTGTTTACGAATTACAGCCTTCCTGGGTTGAAACCCTTGACTCCCAACAAAAGGAGGTTTTAATTTGGGGTTCACTTACAAGAAGCTCTTTGCCCCATTTAACAGATAAGTCTCAAAGAAGGAAAGTTCTTGATAGAACAAAGGTAACAGAAGCAGAAAGAATGATAACATAGAAAAATCACCATTAGGTAATCCCTAATGAAGTAAACTATCAAAGCTGGGTAGATCATAATTTAAGTGAAAGGCTATCAGGAGCTTGATAATAAATCATTTTGGGTTATTTCCTGATGCGATGGAAAAGTAAGCACCTATTACTTCCTATGATGTATTCTTGCCAAAGATACTAGAATCTGAGTCGAAACGAGCACCTAGATCTACTAGTTTTTAGGAAAAGTGGGTCAATACTGGGATATATAATGACACCACACCACAGGGATACAACAGAAATGTGAAAAATTTTAGAGCAAATGACATAGTTTTTTTCAACAAATGATAAAAGAAAAAGGAATTGTTAAGTATTTTTACAGACATAGCGATGTCAACAAAATGCAGGGTGTGAATTTTGTTTGGATCCTGTTTCAGACACATCAACAAAATCACATGTTGTGGGAAGAGAAGAAAATTGAACATCATGGAATTCAGGACATGCCAAAATACGGCTCCTTGGCATATTGGATATTTTAAGGAAGGACTTTGAGAAATGGCAGATCCTAGGACTCTCAGACCTCCTCCCAAAAAGCAGGTCATGTGACTCTCATACGAGAGGTGCCTTCCCACACCCAGAGGGACAGAGATTTTGAACAAAAAGGCCTTGCTACATCTCCCCCAGTTTCCTACACTTAGCTCATACCATTATGTCCCATCACATTTTTCTACAACTTTATACTTTTCATCAAACTTCATATAAAAATGCTCAGGTTTAACTGTTTCTTTGAGTCTTTGTTTCCTTATGAAGGCTCCCATGTTACGTAAAACTTATATTAAATAAATGCATATGCTTTTCTTCTGTTAATCTGTCTTTTGTTATAGAGGCCTAGCCAAGAACCTTAAAAGGATAGAAAAGAAAAAGATACTCTTCCTTCAGCATCACATCTTCTATTAGTAGATGATGTTAGATGATACTTAAGAATTACTATTAATTTTGTTACCAATGACAGTGGTGGTGTTACAGGTATTTTTAACTCCTTACACTTTTTCTCAAAAACCAAGTGGAAGACATTACAAGAATATTTCTATACCTTAGTATCAGGCTTTTGTGGAAAGGCAAGCTTTATTTCAAAGTAACATGAAAAGAGCAGTCAGGGGTCCACAACCACAAACTGGTAGGAGGGAGAAATAGTCACACGTCCATTTGGCAGTGTCTCAGTGGAAAGTCTCACCAATTCCTGCTGATCGCCCAATACCTGCTCAGTTTCCTCTTCAGGCTGAAACTAAAAAGGTTGACTTGAAGATGCCCATTATATCTCTGTTATCCAAACACACTTATTTCAGGATGGAGGACACTTGGAGTCAACTTAATTGAGGGAATCCACTTAATTATTAAATATTTATACTGAGAATATGGTTAAGTTAGTAGCTTTCTTCACATTTTCACATTTTTAAAAGAGCCACAGAAGTTCCATTCACATTCTAAGCAGTTGAGTTGGCAAATATCCATTTCATAGGACATAGATCACATTCAATTACTCCTCACAACAGCCAACTGGAAGACTATTCCATTGCTTTTGAAGCACTGGTTGGGTTGGCATCTGCAATGGTAGCCAAATAAATGAGATTTCTGTGTAACACATGCTGGTACCTATGGATGAAAAACAGACAAAAATTAGAGGTGTGTTTTTATTGAACAAAAAACTGGAAAAGAATTTACCTAGTGAATGGCTCATCTACTGAATGGACCACTCTGTTTTGTCAATGTGTCTATTTAACATATCAGAGGAAAATACATCCAGAATCTTACCTGTTCTCACTTCTCACTCCCATAGCTACATCTCTCGGCCAAGCCACTATCACTTCTTGCTTGGACTACTGTACTGGACCACCCTCCTAAGCCGTCTCCCTGTTCTACCTTTGTAACCCTACTATAGTTATACTCATAGCAGCCTGAGTGATTTTACAGTTTAGGTTCAATTCAGTTCAGTCGCTCAGTTGTGTCCGACTCTTTGCGACCCCATGAATCGCAGCACGCCAGGCCTCCCTGTCCATCACCAACTCCCAGAGTTTACTCAAACTCATGTCCATTGAGTCGGTGATGCCATCCAGCCATCTCATCCTCTGTCGTCCCCTTCTCCTCCTGCCCCCAGTCCTTCCCAGCATCAGGGTCTTTTCCAATGACTCAACTCTTCGAATGAGGTGGCCAAAGTACTGGAGTTTCAGCTTCGGCATCAGTCCTTCCAATGAACACCCAGGACTGATCTCCTTTAGGATGGACTGGTTGGATCTCCTTGCAGTCCAAGGGACTCTCAAGAGTCTTCTCCAACACCACAGTTCAAATGCATCAGTTAAGACCATGTAATACCTCTGTTCAAAACTCTTCAAAGGTCCCCATCACATTATGAGTAAAGCCCAGCTTTTCTCATGGCCTATAAGGACCTACATGATCAGGGCCTCTAGTCTACCTCTCTGATCTCATCTGTCACTTTCCCTTTACTCACTGAGTTCTGGCCAGAGTGGCCTCCTTGCAGAGATGTCAAGATACCCAGCAAGCTCTAGCCTGGGGGACTCCTCCACCTGATGCTCACTGTGATTCACACATCTGCATAGCTGCCTCCCTCACCTAAGGTGTCTACCCAAATGTCACATCAAAGATAACCTGTATAAACTAGCACTTCCTCCCACTTACTGTGCTTTATTCTTATTCAAAGCGTTTATTATTATGTGCCTAATTATATGATTCTACAGTCTAGAATGTAATCTCCATGAAAGCAGAGCTGCTATCTGTTTTGGTACTGATTCCCCAGTAGCTGAAGTAGTAACTGGTACTCAGTATTACTTATAAAAAGTCTTGAACAGGGAATTCCCTGGAAGTCTGGGGTTAGGACTCCATACTTCCACTGCAGGGGCACAGGTCTGATCCCTGGTCAGGGAACTAAGGGTTTCCCTGGTGGCTCAGCAGTTAAAAGAATCTGCCTGCAATGTAGGAGACACAGGTTCAATCCCTGGGTCGGGAAGATCCCTTGGAGGAGGGCATGGCAACCCACTCCAGTATTCTTGCCTGGAGAATCCCATAGACAGAGGAGCCTGGTCGGCTGCAGTCTGTAGGGTCACACAGCAAGACTGAGGTGATTAAGCACACACACAGGTAGGGAACGAAGATCCCATGTGGCACAAGGCCAAAAACAAATCCTGAACAAAGTTAAAGAAGGGACAAGACATTTCCATGATAAATGCACGCTTACTATGACCTCATTTCTCAATCAAGGGTTTGAGCCCCAAATCAGACTGCTGCTGCTAAGTCGCTTCAGTCGTGTCCAACTCTGTGCGACCCCGTAGACGGCACCCCACCAGGCTCCCCCGTCCCTGGGATTCTCCAGGCAAGAACACTGGAGTGGGCTGCCATTTCCTTCTCCAATGCATGAAAGTGAAAAGTGAAAGTCGCTCAGTCATGCCTGACTCTTAGCAACCCCATGGACTGCAGCTTACCAGGTTCCTCCATCCATGGGATTCTCCAGGCAAGAGTACTAGAGTGGGTTGCCATTGCCTTCTCCACAAATCAGACTAGAGGGCAGGAATCATGCACCATACGATGTGAAAATGTCCATGAGGAGACTGTGGTAACTCATCCATAATTTGAGAATCACTGCACCAAATAGAGTGTTTTGCAACGGTTTTACATATAGAAAAATGAGAGTGTTTACTATAAACTGTAAAAAAGCAAATCACCAAATGCCAGTGTCCAATGTAAAGACTTACCCAAGATGGATATCTCCACTGACTTGTTCAGTGAGGGAATGAGGGTTACTTTTTTAGGGGGTGGGGAAAGCATGGCTTCAGTCACAATGAAATAAAATCTTTTTTGTTTCTGTAATAAACAGGACGTAAGTCCTGGAACTACACTTAGAAAAGAGAGTGTTTTCTCTCATCTTGGCATATGGCTAGAGAGCACCTTAAATTACTGTGCCAAATTTACCTCTGTCTTAACTGGGAACTTTTATTGGTTTTTGTGTGTGTTACCAAAAAAGTATGAGTCAGGGATCCACGACCAGAAAACAGCCATTGCTCTCATCACTTCATGAGACGTTTTCCGAATGCTAGAACTGGACGTGGAACAACTGATTCCAAATAGGAAAAGGAGTACATCAAGGCTGTATAGTGTCATGCTGCTTATTTAACTTATATGCAGAGTACATCATGAGAAACGCTGGGCTGGAAGAAGCACAAGCAGGAGTCAAGATTGCCGGGAGAAATATCAATAACCTCAGAGATGCAGATGACACCACCCTTATGGAAGAAAGTGAAGAAGAACTAAAGAGCCTCTTCATGAAAGTGAAAGAGGAGTGAAAACTTAAAGCTCAACATTCAGAAAACTAAGATCATGGCATCCGGTCCCATCACTTCATGGCAAATAGATGGGGAGACAGTGGAAACAGTGGCTGACTTTATTTTTGGGGGCTCCCAAATCACTGCAGATGATGACTGCAGCCATGAAATTAAAAGACGCTTACTCCTTGGAAGAAAGTTATGACCAACCTAGATAGCATATTAAAAAGCAGAGACATTACTCTGCCAACAAAGGTCCGTCTAGTCAAGGCTATGGTTTTTCCAGTAGTCATGTATGGATGTGAGAGTTGGACTATAAAGAAAGCTGATCACCGAAGAATTGACACTTTTGAACTGTGGTGTTGGAGAAGACTCTTGAGAGCCTCTTGGACTGCAAGGAGATCCAACCAGTCCATCCTAAAGGAGGTCAGTCCTGAGTGTTCTTTGGAAGGACTGATATTGAAGCTGAAACTCCAATACTTTGGCCACCTGATGCGAAGAGCTGACTCATTTGAAAAGACCCTGATGTTGGGAAAGATTGGGGGCAGGAGGAGAAGGGGATGACACAGGATGAGATGGTTGGATGGCATCACCAACTCAATGGACATAAGTTTGGGTAGACTTCAGGAGTTGGTGATGGACAGGGGTTGCAAAGACTCGGACACGACTGAGCGACTGAACTGGACTGAACTGAACCGTCCCCATCCCTGTTCTCATCAGCCGGCATGGCTTTTTGAGAGGTCTTTGCAATGAGCACAATTCAAGTTTTGAAGAGGAAGCCATGTCTGACTCCAGGCTTCACAATGTACTGTCCGTATTATCTTGGGCAGGTAAGTAATTCCTCTGAGCCTTATCTGTGATCACTCAAGACTCCTAGTTCAGGTCAGTTGATGGATTCCCATACTAGCTTCCCCTTCACACTCACAAGTTAAGGGAATAAAGAGTGGACTCACTGGACGCACTCATTCGCCCGGCCTTTGTTCTGATATTCCACGATACAGCGGATCAGCTGGTCATTCTCCTCCAGGAGCTGAAAGATCGGACAAGGGGTCAATACAGCGCGACGTCAGGACGGCGAGGACCACTGCCTCCTTTGCCTGCCCACCCCCCCGCCCCCCTTCCCCGCTCCCCAAGGCCGGGCTTTCCAGCCCCAGCACCTCTGCTGACTTCGTCCTCATCTCACAGCAAGTCACCTACGCACACCACCAGTCTCAGCTGCTCCCTCCAGGAAGCTTCCAGCGCCCGCAGCCATTTGGGATCTCTGCTAAGATCTCTCCGCCCGTTTCGGCGCTTACCCGCTGGATGGTCTCCTGATTGACTTCTGCCTTCCCTCTCAGCCAGTCCGGTACGAAAGCCACCGACATCCCGGGAAGCCAGGGTGGAACTCGGCCTCAGGCCCGGCAGATGCCCTCACATCTAGACCGGAGCGGACCTGCAGCTCCAGACGCACTACGGCCGCAGCAGGGACCAAGATACACTCTCGACGTTGATTGGGTCCTCCCACCTACAGGGCGGGGAACAGGCGGAACGTCATTTGTGATTGGGCGCGCTCTTAATAAGAGCGATTCCTGGCGGCCTCCTCCGGCCCCACCCCTGAGGCTCTAGAGCTTGTTTGTGGATCTTTTATCTTTGCGCAAGCTAGCCTCAGGGACAGGATCCAAGTTAGCGTCTCGCCTTTTAGGCTTTGGGTACTGCCAGTCTGTGGGAGGAGCTTACCCATCTGGGTCCACATTCACACCTCTTTAAACACCGCTCTGGTGCCTCCAGGCCTGCATCTGGAGCCTGAACCTTGGGCATCACCTCCTTTCAAGCCAAACCTTGCAAGGCCAAGGAAAACACCGGTGTCGGCTTTTGCTGAGGGAGAAACTCGCACAAAGACCTCTTTTTCCTTTGGGCCCTTTAAAAACAAATCAGATTTACAACCCTAAAAAGCACAATTATTTTCTCCATTTTACAGATGAGAAAACAGAGATTAGGTAACTTGCCCAAGATCTCATAGCTACTGAGGGCAAAACCAGCATCTGAACAGCAGCAGTCTGGCTTTAGAATTCTTGCTTTTAACCACCTCCCTGTGCTGCCTATGCACCATACTGCGGAGGTGGTTTGCTGCAACATACAGAGAGGAAGCTAGGCCAACCTCTCGGGCCACACTGTTACCGCTGTTCAGTTCAGTCTCTCAGTCGTGTCCGAGTCTTTGCGACCCCATGGACTGTAGCACGCCAGGCCTCCCTGTCCATCACCAATTCAGTGAGCTTACTCAAACTCATGCCTATTGAGTCCGTGATGGTATCCAATCATCTCATCCTGTTGTCCCTTTCTCCTCCCGCCTTCAATCTTTCCCAGCATCAGGGTCTTTTCAAATGAATCAGCTCTTTCCATCAGGTGGCCAAGTATTGGAGTTTCAGCTTCAACATAAGTCCTTCCAAAGAACACTCAGGACTGACCTCCTTTAGGATGGACTGGTTGGATCTCCTTGCAGGCCAAGGGACTCTCAAGAGTCTTCTCCAACACCACAGTTCAAAAGCGTCAATTCTTCGGCGCTCAGCTTTCTTTACAGTCCAACTCTCACATCCATACATGACTACTGGAAAAACCATAGCCTTGACTAGACGGACCTTTGTTGGCAAAGCAATGTCTCTGCTTTTTAATATGCTATCTAGGTTGGTCATAACTTTCTTCCAAGGAGTAAGCGTCTTTTAATTTCATGGCTGCAGTCATCATCTGCAGTGATTTGGGAGCCCCCATAAATAAAGTCAGCCACTGTTTCCACTGTCTCCCCATCTATTTGCCATGAAGTGATGGGACCGGATGCCATGATCTTAGTAGTCTGAATGTTGAGCTTTAAGTTTTCACTCCTCTTTCACTTTCATGAAGAGGCTCTTTAGTTCTTCTTCACTTTCTTCCATAAGGGTGGTGTCATCTGCATCTCTGAGGTTATTGATATTTCTCCCGGCAATCTTGACTCCTGCTTGTGCTTCTTCCAGCCCAGCGTTTCTCATGATGTACTCTGCATATAAGTTAAATAAGCAGGATGACAATATACAGCCTTGATGTACTCCTTTTCCTATTTGGAACCAGTCTGTTGTTCCATTGTCCAGTTCTAACTGTTGCTTAGAGGCAGGCCAGGTGGTCTGGTATTCTCATTTCTTTCAGAATTTTCCACAGTTTGTTGTGATCCACACAGTCAAAGGCTTTGGCATAGTCAATAAAGCAGAAATTGATGATTTTATGGAACTCTCTTGCTTTTTCAATAATCCAGCAGATGTTGGCAATTTGATCTTTGGTTCCTCTGCCTTTTCTAAAACAAGCTTGAACATCTGGATGTTCACGGTTCACATATTGCTGCAGCCAGGCTCAGAGAATTTTGAGCATTACTAGCATGTGAGAAGAGTGCAATTGTGTGGTAGTTTGAGCATTCTTTGGCATTGCCTTTCTTTGGGATTGGAACAGAAACTGACCTTTTCCAGTCCTGTGGCCACTGCTGAGTATTCTAAATTTGCTGGCATATGGAATGCAGCACTTTCACAGCATCATCTATTAGGATTTGAAATAGCTCAACTGGAATTCCATCACATACACTAGCTTTGTTCGTAGTGATGCTTCCTAAGGCCCACTTGACTTCACATTCCAGGATGTCTGGCTCTAGGTGAGTGATCACACCATCGTGATTGTCTGGGTCGCTGGCAACCACTAAAACTCTGAAGTGGTTGTCTTCTCTCTTGTCCAGTTCGCCCATGATGAACATGGGAGCAAGGTTGGTTTTCTCTGTAGCACAGAGTGAGAAGCGGCCACTTCATTGAGGATGCAGATCTTGGAAAGTTTTACTCCTCAAGAAGGGTATCAGGGCAATTCTGCCTTCTAGAGCTTCATTTCCCTGAGTGGTGGCCCTGATCCAAGCAGGCTCATTTGCTTTGCTGGGCTCTCTCTCCACAGTTCCTTTATTCATCCCACGGAGGAGGTTTTATCCCATTCCACAGAGGGCTAAGGGTAAGTGATAAATTAGCTCTGGATGTGTGCAATTTGAGGTGACCTCTAATGGAGATGTTGAAATTTGTGGCTTGCTATTTGGTTGGAAATCAGGGCCAAGGGCTGGCAATATAAACTTCATGAATCATCACTTGTGGAAAATGGCATTATCCTTGAAGCTACTTTGTCACCCTTTTACATCCAATTCATCACCAAGTCCTGTTGATTTCACTTCTACATTTCTCTGCAGACTGCCCAGTTCTCTTGAGCTTCACACTGTTCTAGCCTAAACTCTAGCTTCATCTTCTCTTGTCCAGACAACTGCATTGACTTCCCAACTGGCCCTACCACAGTTTCCAAGAGCCTTCTCCACTTTGATCTTAATATCAGCAGCCAAAGTAATGTCTACAAAATATAAATCCAGTCAGTTTTCGCCTGTCCCGAATTCTGCTATGTCTTCCAATATCTTACATGGTCTTACCTCTTCTAGTCTCTAGTGCTTTCACTCTACTTCTTTACTCTGTAAACTCTGAGTTTTTTTTTTTCCTTTTTGATGGAAAAATATACATAACATAAAACTTACCATTATCACCATTTTTAAATATACAGTTCTATGATATATAGTACATTACATTGTTGTGCAAACATCACCACTATCCATTTCCAGAACTTTTTCATTTTCCCCAAATGTGCCTATTAAACAACTCCCCGCCCACCTCCCCTCACCACTTCTCAACCCAGGGTTGGTTTTCATCTTTCAAGGAGCCCTGCCATAGTCCACACAGAGTTCTTTATACATTTCTCTGCCTGAAGCACTCTTCCACCCTTTGCCTAGTTAGCTACTACTCATCCAGTGTCAAGGAAGCCTCCTTGAACCACCAAATCCAGGCCAGAAGCTCCAGTAAATCCTTTCAAAACCAGTGCTCCTCTCTGAAGTACTCTAAGTTTGTACTTAAACATGTAGTTGTATATTGCAGTATGGGTTCTGTCACACTTCTCTCCTCTCTTAATATAGGTTTTAGTGTCAGGAGTTACTCGTTTTGTCCGCAGTGACTGGCATAGTGCCTGGTTCGCAGCAGGTGCTTACAATTTGTTAAATGAATAAATGGATGAACAGTCGTTCCTCATCTCCTTTCAGCTGATCACCAGTCTATGAGTACGTCCGCCCCCCAGACTGGAGTGTGTCCCTTGGGGCTGGACTTTGGCACCTCATCCAGGCTGGCAGCAGGCTGTGATCTTTGGTTTGCCTATCTCGGGCCTCTCGCCCAGCAAATAGCTGAACCCACGCCCCGGGCGTGTCGCGCCGTCACGCGGAACCTCCCTACTTCCACACATCAGAACCCGGCAGAAACTAAGCTTGAACTGCGAAGCCTCTTCGCACCTCCGGACGTGGGAATTACATACTTGGACCTCAGACTCACGCGGGTGAGAACCGGGAGACGCGAGGAAAGTTGGAAGGCGCGCCCCAGCGATGCCCAATCTATATTTGGGTCGAAGCCCTTTAAGTAGTACTTCATTCAAGACTCCTCCGGGACCCGGCAGTGGAGGCGCGCCAGGATTGGTCGGTTTGGGTGTGGGTGTTGCTCGGCACCAGCGAATCAGCGGGGGCAGGGGGATGTTGTGGTTCAAGACTCGCGCATGCGCAGGGTTGTCTGCCTGTGCCTGGGCTGCCTGTGACCCGGGCCAGGTCTGCCGGGTGGGCTGATTGCGGAGGAGGCGGAGGGTGGCGCGGCGGGAGGCGCCGACTCCCGGAGGCCGCTGTCGGGGCGAGGTGAGGGCTGGCGGGCTGAGGCGGGCGCTGCGGTCCGTTAGCCGAGAGCAGGCGGGGTCGGGTGTGGCGCAGGGCGGGCCTGGAAGCGGAGCCCCCCTACCCCGGCCCGTCCGGCCCTCTGGCCCGGTTTAGCTCTCCAGGGCTTCTTGGGGCTTCCCGAAGTCTCAGCTCCCCTTTCTGCCGCCAGCTGCTCTCCTGACTCCGGGACGACCCAAGGTGCGAGCCTGCGGGAACCCTCAGTTGCCAGATGCCGGTGGAGGGCTGCCCACAGTGGGAGGAGACGGGGTGTGTCCGAACGATGGGATGATTGTTTACTTAATTATCCACGAACCTCACGTCAGAGTATTTTAATAACAAACAAACTTCCCTTAGCGTGCCCATCTGGTAAGACTTGGTTTACCAGATACTGGGTTTAGTAGACCAGCTTTTGTGAACATCAGATGTCGGAGGTGATGAGCATATGTGCCGGATATAGGATTACGTCTAGATTCCAGTGTCAGAAGGATTAAGCACTCCGGTGCTTAATTAGGTTTGTGGACATCAAAGCCACCAAAGAATATTCCCAGTGGTGAAAAGTAATTGGTGAAATTTGTGACACGGTCAGAAAAGAAATAAAATTCAGACGGT